AAAAGATATCAACTGAGCACTATGTGCCAGACACTCTTTAAAGCACTGGGAATACAACAGTGAACAAGCAGACAAGGCTCTTGGTCTCATTGGTGCTTACGGTCTGGATGGGGGAGACAAATATTATCTAAGGCAACACATAAATAAACAAGAAAATTTCAGAGTGATATATGCTATGAAGAAAATGAAATAAAGATGAGGTAGAATGACTGGGAGTGGAGGCAGTTAGATTAGGGTCACTGAGGAAGTGACATTTAAGTTAAGACTGGATGCCAAGAAGTGGGTGCTCAGGGAATGTTTGTTAATGGCAACTGAGGCAAGTCAGAACGCAACAGGCTTATTCTAGACTTTATCTGGCAAAGCAGTTATTGGGTTATCTACTGTGTGCCAGGTCCAGTGGCCGATAAAGCAGATGTGGTCCCTGCATCAAGCAAGCTTACAGTCTAGTGGGGGATAAAGACCTTTAAACAAGAAAATATGCAAATAAGTGTAGTTTCATAAATTGTAATAAATGCTAGGGTGTCATGAGAAAGAAAAAGGAGTGAACGCCTTTAGTCTGGGTGGTTGGAGTGTGAAGGAAGCTTCTACTCCTTGGAGAACATAATAACCTCACCTTTTAGGGAGCACACTGGATTTTCAGACATTTTTTAAGATGAACTTTTTTATTTTAGAACCGCTTTGGATTTACAGAATTATTGTGAAGACAGTACAAAGTTCCTAATATACTCCACAGCTAGTTTCCCCGTTATTAACAACTTACATAAGTGTGGCACATTTGTCACAATTAATGAACCAATATTGACCATTATTATTAACAAAAGTCTATACTTTATTCAGATATCCTCAGCCTTTGCCTAATGCCCATTTTCTGCTCCAGGAACACATCCAGCATGCCACATTACACTGAGTTACCATGTCTCCTTAGACTACTGTTGGCTGTGACAGTTTCTTAGACTTTTCTTATTTTTGATGACAGTTTTGAAGAGTACTGGTCAGGTATTTTTGGAGCCCTGGTGGTGCAGTTGTTAAGAGCTCAGCTGCTAACCAAAAGGTCAGCAGTTCGGATCCACCAGTCGCTCCTTGGAAACCCTATGGGGCAGTTCTACTCTGTCCTATATGGTCGCTATGAGTCAGAATCGACTCGACAGCAAGGAGTTTTTTGGTCAGGTATTTTGTAGGATGTCCCTCAGGTGGGATTTGTCCAATGTTTTTCTCATGATCTACTGGGGCTATGTTTTGGGGAGGAAGACCCCAGAGGTAAAATGACATTCTCATCACATCATATCAAGGATACATACTATCAACATGATTTATCATGGTTGATGTTGACCTAGATCACCTGACTGAGGTAGTGCTTGTCCTATTTCTCTACTGTAAAGTTACTTTCTTTTTCCTCCTTTCCACAACGTACTTTTGGGAAAGAAGTCACTGTCTTAGCCCATACTTAAGGAGTGGGGAGTTATGCTCCAACTTCTTGAAGGCAAAGTATCTATATAAATTATTCGGAATTCTTACACAGGGCGATTTGTCTATTTTCCTACTCTCTGATTTTCGTCCATTTTTAGCAATATTTTTCTGCTGGGTCTTTTTATTTTTTTTAAGTTCAAGAACCCTGTTGGTGTTTCTAGAAACCTAGAAATATTTTACTTCAATTAATAAAATGCATAAAATTGCCAAAGCATTAAATTAGGAGGTAGAAAAAATCCAATAATTATTTTAATTTTTTCTATTGTCAGTATGCATCAATGAAATAAGATCTGGGAAATACCAAAAAGCAGAAGCAAGCACCTGCTTAGTCCCACTGCTCAGAGCTGATCATTGTTCATATTTCAATTTATTATCTTTCACTTTTCTTCTGTGCACAGTTTTTACACAGATTATACTGTCTTTGTAATTTTAGACCCTGCCTCTACTCCCTCCCTTTTGTTTTTTTGGCATATTATCATATCAAAAACATTTCCCCTGTGTTGTTATACAGACTTCATAACCATTATTTTCAACAGCTACTAAATACCCCTTCACGTGGCTTATCATTTCCTCCTGAACTTAGTATGATGCCTGACACGTTGTCAGTGTTGACAAATTATTTGTTAAGTGTGAATGAATATAAAACAAATTAATCATTCCCTTGTTTTTAGAAATGTAGGTTATTTTCTGTTTTCTTGATTGGAAATAGTTCTCAAATGGACAATCCCCTTAGGATAGTGTCCCAGAGTGGAATTACTGGGCCAAAGGGGACCAAAAACTTCTAAAGATAAATGATGCAAACCAAGAAGATTTCCCTTTCCCCTCTGTACCACCAGTAATTGTGCAAGGGTAATAATTTACAATTGATTAAAGAGTTTGTAGGGTGTTTTTTCCCCATCTTTTTCTCCTCCCCTTTCCCCTTCCCCTCCTGCCAAAAAGGGGGAAAATCATCTGAGAAGGTGAAGATGTTCTCAGACAATCATATTAACATATTCCAACAATCGCAATTTGCAAAATAGTAATCACAACTCCCGGGATCTGGGAGGCATTAATCAAAGCTGCAGGTTTAATTCCATTTTAAATATTGATGAAATCTGCCTCAGCAGCCTCACCCTGGCTTGGCAGGGCCAGGGGAGGCCCTACGCACAGGGGAGGTGGAGGGAGGGGTAGTGAGCAGCTGCAGGGAGGGGAGGCTTCTGTGATTCAAATTGGTGGCTGTGCAGCCAGGTAGAGTGAAAGGGGTAGTGAAGAGGGCTGTTAAGTCCATTGCTGTCAATTTGTAACAATCAGGGAGGGGCCTGAAGACTGGTTCAGCACAATAACCCCAGTTTGTCTGGTTTCAGGGGTTACCACTGAAGAGGTTGCAGCTGCACTGATTCGAATAGCCTGGAGACTTCAGAACTGTAATTATCAACCAGGCTGCTCACAGTGTGGCAAAAGTGGGCTTCACCAGCACTTAACTCCTTGTGTGCTGACACACCAGCGCCACTCTCCCCACAGTCACCTCCCCACCCAGGGTTCCGCAGCCACATGGAGATTCTCAGGCAGCCTCCACAGGGGAAACTGAGGCCCACTGGCTGGTTAGGGCAGTCCTCAGAGGCCAGGCAGCGAGGCTTTTTTCCTTAGGTGACATATAAAGAAAGAGTAGGGGGAAGGGGAGGTTTTCTATGGGGGAGCCTCTGCACCTGGCACCACATCTTCCCTGAGGTGGGAAGGGTCAGGCCGTAGAGCCTGATGAGCCTTGGTTTGAATAACATCCGCAGGGACACAGGACACGGCTCCTCCCCTCTGTAAAATTGGGGTAATATCCTCTACCCACTGGCCTTTTGCAAAGATTGACAAGATTCAGTGTTTGCAAAGCACCAAGCACACAGTAGGTTGTCAACAAGCATCCATCTCCTGATGCTGGGTCTGGTGCCAGCCACACCCAGCCTTTCACAGAAGAGGAAGGAGCCCCTGATCAAGGGCATCTGATTCAGAGGATGGGCTTTGTATTGGCCCTCTGAATTTCCTGTCTTGGGGAATGTCCTTGTTCTCTAGCTTCTGCCATTTGTGTGGGTAGTCCAAGACATCTCTTGGGCTGGAAGCCTTGGGCTAGGGGCGGGGTAAGAAGAGGCGGCAAGAGCTGGGGAATGCTGCTTGTGGGCAGGGGTTTGAGCTAGCTCTCTTCGCATCCCCAGGGTGGGCAGGCAGGGAAGGCAGGCAGGCAGATAGGCAGGTGTGGTACAGAGAAAAGCACATGCATGGGCTTAGCTGGTAGTACTGGTGAATGAAGTGTGTGTATATGACTCCGTGAAATTTTCCCTCGTATCCATGAAGGGATGTGCACAAGAACATGTATCCCAGAATTATTCATGACAGCAGGAATTTAGAGGCAACCTAGGTACCTACTACTGGGAAGATGGATAGTACAATATGACAGAAGCCCCTTCATAGAATATTAAGGAGCAGTAAGAAGCAAAGAACTAGATGTACATGCAGGGCAGGAATAGATCTTGAAAATGTAGTGTTGAATGAAAAAAAGACACAATGAAATTCACAGCACAATGCCATTTATGAAAATTAAAAACACATTCACACACAAAACAACAGTACATATTTTACAGAGCTACGTGTATTTTAAGGATATATATCCCACCATTAGAGTGGGTCCCTATGGTGGTGGGGGAGGGGCTGGGTGTGGGTTTGAGGGGCTAAAGGGAAAAAATAAAAATAAATCCGCAGAGGGGCCTTGTGCAGAGAGATGGTGTGCTATGGACTGAAGAGTGTGACGCACTCAGCTCTGGATTTGAGGTTTAAAAAACAGCTTGGGTTTTGTAGCCAGACAATCCTGGGCTCGCCCACATACTAACCCTGTGGCTGTGGACAAGCAACCTCTCTGAGACTCTGTTTTTTCATCTGTAAAATGGTGGGAGTGACTGCTGCTTGTCAGCTGGTCATGAGGAATAAATTAAGTGCAATGAGTGTGTTTAGGGCTTTCACGGAACACCAGTTCCTGCTGCTCTTCTTCTCCATTCCCCACTGAAAGGATCTGAGTAAATAGAGGGTATCAGCCCCCCGCCCTGGGGAGACCACGAGTTCTTTGAAGGAGGCTCTCCAAAATGGAGAGCCCAGAAAGCAAGCTAAAATCTGAAAGCTCTGTCTCATGGCACTACCCCGCAAGACTGTTCGGGGTGCTGTTTGTGGTATGTCAGAACAGACAAGTGCCCAAGTTGGGGCTGCTCTCTGACCATCTGTCAGGGACAGTCCTGCTCAGGGTGGCCAGTTGACCTCATGCTTACCCCCCATCTGCCGCATCTACAAACTACTATTCTGAGTTGTTTCCCCTAGATTAGACACTTACTGGCAACTAAGGGGTTTGGTTTTAGTGAAAGGTCTGTTCCTTCCCAACACAGAGCTAAACAAACTGGTCACCAAAGCCATCACCCCATGCTGGCATATACCCCAGTCCCGAGACCCCACCCAGGGGCTCCCAGGGCAGGGAAGGCCCCAGAGAGCACCAGGCATGACAGGCTCTTCCTCTTCCCTTGCAGATGATGACGAGCATGAGTGGATCATCCGGACCTGTCGGAAGGGCTAGAATGAGACTATGGGTCACAGGCCCAAGCTGTGAGCTCTGCAGCCACTTCCACCAGGCATTTCCATCTGCACCACTGCGACTGGCTGGCCCCAGGGAGCAGGCTGTCCTTCTTTTTAGTGCCTTTTGACTCAGAAATAAAGGTTTTCTGTAGTCAGTAGCCCCAAGTGTACTCTCCTTGGAAAAATGTTTCTCAGAGTGGGGATCCTCATTTAAACCGCATCAGAATCACCTGGGGATCTGCACTTCCAGAGATTTATGTCTATGAAACGTTGGGAACCATCACCTTATAGATATAGGTAATTTCATGAGCAACTGACATGTGCAGGCACTGTGTGTGCATTATCTCTGCTCCTCACAAGGGAGGGCTTAGCATCACTTTTTACAGATGGGGAATCTGAGGTTCAGAGAAATTGGTTGATTGATTGATTGATCTCCCCAAGGTCATACTGCACTTGAATCCAAGTCCCTCTGAGGACACAGCCTATCTGTTTTTTACTACATCCAGTTGCCTGCCTTACCAATCTTGGTCTCACAGGGCAGCAGGACCTGATGACTGTGCCTGGACTCCCAGCTGGTTCCTTGCTATAGGCCTAAGAATTCCCCAAGACTGCCTCTCCCTCTCGGCAGCTCTCCTATTTGAGCCTCATACCCTAACACACAATCAGTGCACTGCCATAGAAAGAACATGGCTTGGTATCATACATGCCTGGTTTCAAATCCCAGTTCAACCATAGGTATCATGTAATCTTGGGCAAGTCACTTCACTTCTCTGAGTCTCAATTTCTCACCTGTAAAATGGGTATAATGATGCTTAAAACAATAGCATTACGTTTGTTTAATAGGCTGCTGTGTGGATTGAATGAGACAATCCAAGTCAAAGAGCTGGTACTTAACAGGTGCTCAATATGTTTGCTTTAAAGAATAATTTGCTAGCTGTGCACACAGTAATCATTCCTCTGAATCACCCCCAGATATCACACTTGTCAGCTGAGAACCAGGAGAGGAAATGGTGACATGTTCCAGGGCCACACTCGGGCCACAAGCATCCTCAGAGGTTGCTGGCTGGATCCTGCTGCCCCGGGTGCTTTGTCCCCCGGCTCACCAGAGCTGCCCAGTGGAGGCGGGAGAGTGAGTCAGACATGGGCAGGCTGCAGGGCGAGGAAACTGGGCCTCAAATAAGGGACCCAGAAGATGTCATGTCAGGGCAGGGCCAGGAGCCAGAGGGAAGCCTGAGCCCACTCTCAGCTGCGCCATGGAGGGGTCCTGGGGGAATCGTCTCTCCTCTGAGCCTGCAAGTCACCTTGGTAGAATGAGAGGGTTGGGCTCCATCAGTGGTTTCCAAACTGTTTTGGAAACAGAAGGGACATTCACATAAAGAAACACACACATATAAAAATAAGACTAAACTAAGTGAATATATATATTTTCAATAATGTGCATATAGCTAAGTCAACATTTGAAAAATGGATCAGAAGAGTGGATGGGGGAAGAAGTGGGATTGAGAATGAAAGATAAAAAAGAGAGGGGCCCTGTAGAGTCAATGATATGGTATACCATGAACTGAGGTTTACAGTCAGCTCATTTTTGTGCAGACCAATGGGAGCTGAAGAAGCCTCCATGCCCAGCGAGGCTGCTCCACCCATCTGCTTCAGGTGCTGCACTGGGAGACAGCTAAAAAAAAAGGGGTGGGAGGGGGAACCACCAGAATAGATACTCTCTCTCACTCCCCAGATTGTATGGTGGCTCTGGAACCTGACATGGCCAGTATGAGACCCAGCCTTTGCAGAAGCAGCTTGGGCAGACCCTGTCTCACACCTGTCATTCCCTTCACTTCATGCCATACCAAACTCTTCCCCATCTTCCAAACAGGCTCCTCTGTACCTCCCCCTTGTCCCCAGTACCCTCCTCCATCAATTCCCATCTATTCTATGAAATGCTCACCAGATAGGATCCGGCTCAAAAAGCCCCCCAGCCTGGGCCCCCACAGCATGCTATAGGGATGTCTGTGACATTTACCAGATTGGGCGCTCCTCTGGGGCAGGGTCCACCTGGCACGCGTCTCTGAGTCTGCAAAGCCAGCACAGGGCCCAGCAGACAGCATGTGTTCAGGGAGGGTCACAGGGCAGCAACCAGCCTAATTCCTACAAAGCTTGGATAACAAGCAGCAGTGACCAAGTACTTAAAGAAGAAACCCCCTACCATTCCTTTATAACGCAGTTTACTAACCAGGAAACAGGACTAAGTTTCCAGAAAGGGGGATTGCACTGTCCAGCAGCCCAGATAACTGTGGGAGCCAGGGGCCTGAACCCTTAACCAAAGAGCAGGAAAGAAATGGAATCCCACCATGTTCTGGATTTAAGTGCCAGCACTTCTACTTGCATTAACTTTATTTATGACACAAATAAGACATTTACAAAGCACAACATGAAAGGTATGTAACAAAACAGACATTGGTTTTACAAAAAAGTGCTTACATTTTTTTTTTCCATGTGTGTTTTCCCCTTTTGTTTTGTATTTAAATAAATAGTCTTGACGGCCTGTACGCTCCCAGGCTGCTCTGTGAGGGTAGTGGAGACATGTTTGAACTGCAACATGCTACGGCCATGTGATCCACGGAAGGACTAGATCCTGTGGGGAGACTCAAGGCAGAGTGGGTACTGGGAGACCCTGGGCAGGCTCAGCTGGCCATTTACCACATGGTTCCAAATGGGGCTTGACCGTCAGCAGCAAAAACCAAAGGAAAGGTTAGAGCTTCCCAAGGCCAAGGATCAGTCCCAGTTGGCCCTGTTAACAACAGTGCCCAGCACAGGGCCAGGCACAAATTACTCACTGGATGGGTTCTAAACTGAGCTGCAATGACCACATTCTGAGTGGTGCCTTCTCTTTGCCCTGTGTCAGTTGTAAATGTGTTCACAAGGGAGAGGAAGCATGTTCCTTTCTCAGGTTACATCCCTGCCTAGCCCTACTCCAGGTCCCAGAGCAAGAGCGGCATATAGATTTTCATTTTAAGTGCCAACTTCAAGCATTTGGATTCTGAAACTTTATCTGGACTCAGTGAGATAGACAGCGCTACAATTGATGACTGATATCTGCCATGGGTAAAAACAAGCACAGCTGCTGGATATGTACCATGAACTTGCTTTCCCTGTCCTAGAGTCTCCTTCCAGAAGCAACATATCAGGTTAACCACAGCATAAAGGAGGACCTGGGCTAAAACATGCTTAATAGCAGCCTCTAGAGGGAAATGCATCAAGACACTAAGGAGTTCCAGAACTAAAGGATTAGCTTGGGACAAGTGAATGTCCCCTGACACATCAATCATGGTTGCGTGTAGCCCAAGCCTTTTGGTTTGGGGTGAAGAGATGCAGCAAGATGGGGCAGATGTGAGCACAGCTGTGTCTGGCCTCCATTCTCAGAAGCAGGTGGGGATGGCTCTGGGCAGGGTTGGTGGGGAAGCCCAAAGGGGCCAGCTGGAACCCTGGGCTGGGCACTACTACCTAGGCAGTGGGCACCCTCTCTATACTCAGTATGGGCCCGGAATTAACATGCTGACTGCCATCTCACTGGGCTCTGTTCCCAAGGACTGCAGCAGGATGATCCAGTTCCCCTCTCACTGTCCCCTCAGAAGAGACTGAGCCCAAGCCCTCCCATCAAAGGTCAACAAGTGGCCAACAAGGGTCCCTAACTGTAACCTGACCAAACATTCTGAAATGTCATCACACAGATCAAACACTATCTCTGCTGTGTTCCCTGCTTCCATGATTGATAATTAGACAGGGATAGGGTCTGCCCCCTCCATGCCGAGTTTTCTCTTTCCTCTCCTTAAAATGACTAGTGCCTCTCTGGGCCCAGTGTGCCACGTCCCTCTCCTTGATCTCCAAACCAGTGGGGGTCACAGGCCCCCCAGCCCCCTGCCTCTTGGTCTGGGCAGGCCTCCATCTCTGCCCTACTAGGCCTCTCAGTGTTGGTCAGTGTCTCTTCTCTCTCTGAATTAACTTGACATAACCAGACAGATGGAAATGATAAAATTAGAGCATACTTTTCCTTTGGGGACATCCCACAAACACTGTAGAGTTTTCCAGACGAAAGCAACAGAGTAGATACATTGGGAGTTGTTGGCTATTCAGAATTCAGAGATGGTTCCAAGGAAGTAGTAAATAAAGGCCAATATGGGGGAAAGAGAAAACCTGTAAATTAGAAGGCTGTTGGCATCACGCAATTCAATTCTGCCTTTCACTGTTGTAATCAGCTTAAGCTGAAGATGACTCCTGTTTAAATGGAGAAAATAAGCTGTTGTTTTCATCCTGATTCCAAATGTCAGGGAGCTCTGCCTTCCGAGGGGAGGACTCTGCGGTGCTCCTGGTGGGTTCTGGTTCTCAGCAGGAAAGGAAAAGGCCAGGCCCGGGGGCCGAGCTGGCGGTGGGCAGGCTGGTGGATGGGAGTGGATGTGGGGGCAGATGAATCCCTGGCCACAGCTCGGACTCTGGATTTCAGCGGCTGAGGGGCAGTTGTGGGGTGCCCACGGACAGATGCGGAAGTGCCGGCAGCGTTAGTACTGAAAAAGGATGACCTGCAAGAAGAGGGCACAGGAAGTGGCTGAACCGGGGCCCCACCCTGGCAGCCCCCCAGAGGTCCTCAAAGGCATAGAGAAGGAGGGTGGGCATGGCCCAGATCTGGGTTCAAATCCTGGCTCTGTCACTTACTTGCTGTGGGACCTTGGGCAACTCACTTCACCTCTCTGAGCCTGTTTCCTCATCTGTAAAATGGGGATGACAAAATCTCTCTCTCAGAATGATGGGGAGGATTCACTGAGATACAATCATAACAGCAGCATTGTACCGTTTACTGGGCATTGTACCCTACACCAGGCACTGGGCAAAGTGCGCCACATGCATGATTTCACTGAAGCCTCACCTCAACCCCAGGAGGGAATTCTATATCATCTCCATCTTACAGGGAGGCCCCTGAGGCTCAGAGAGGTGTCAGTTAAGCTGAGCCCTTGATCACACAGCTAGGAAGAGGTGGACCCAGGATTGGAACCCAGGCCTGGCTCCCAGGCATGCTCTCTTTATTACACCACACTGACCCTACCTCTCAAAGGCCCCTATGACAACAGTCATTGAATGCTGACTACATACCAGGCAATGGGCCAAGCACTTCACATGCACTTAATCTTCACAAAGCTGAGAGGCAGGTGGCCCAGACATGACACATGCCTGACACACACACAGAGGCCAGGACCTTCTGCCCATTTTCCTCTTCCTCTTCCACCCAAAGTGCATGGCTGGTATCTCACAGCTGCCATCAACACAGCCAGTTCCCTGAAGTTCAGGTCAAGGATTACTGGCCAGCTGGTCAATAGGATGTGCCAAGAGGAAATTTCAAAGAGGAGGATAGGCTTGGCAACCCATCAATTCTGTTTTCTGATCAGGAATTTTACCCGCCCAGAACTGATCACCATGAGAAGGAGGTGGGGGAAAGGTAATGATGATGAGTATTGTAACAGTAGTAATCATAATAATGACCAATACCTATGGAGTACATTCTGTGTGTCAGATACCATGCTAGGCTCTTTGCATATGTTATTGCATTTACTCTTCACAACAACCTTAGGTGGTGGGAACTATTATTATCCCCATTTTTCAGATAAAGAAACTGAGGCTCAGAGAATCAAAGTATGCACTGCAGGTCTCACAGATAGGTGGCAGAGGTGGGATTTAGAGTCTGCCTGACTCCAGAACTCATACTGCATTGCCTCATCCAATCTGGGGCAATGTTCCTTTTTGGTCCCAGGGACACTTGGCTTTGGTTACTTATCAAGAGAAACTCAAGAGGGATGACCCTGGTAGGACCCTTACTCTCTGTAGGCCTCAATCTCTCCATGTGATCAATGACAGCTTCATCTTGCTTTCTAAGAACCTTCCAAGTTCTGAAGTTGTGGGATCACAGGACATGACCAGGAAGAAATGTGGTTCTGGAAACTCAAACAGGCATGTGTGGCCAATGATGATGTGGTGGAGGCAGAAAGCGCTACCACAAATGCTCAGAGCACTGCTCTCCTGGCCAGGCCAGTGAGAACACTTTTTATGAGTGGATTCTGGAGCCTGCCCAGAGGGACAGTGAGTCTTCTCAAAGCTAGGCTGGTCCAGGCCTGGAGGGACTTGAGGGAAAGCTCATATAGTCCTGTGCTGACCACACACAGCCCCACACCCTGCAGTCTACCAGGCCCCATGGGTCTGGGCAAGATGTAGACAGAAAACATCCTTGGGAGCTGGCAGGAAGGCCTGACAGTGAGACAGCAGAAAGTCATAAAGGAGGGAGAGACACTTTTCTGCAGGGCTTCTGGATGCAAAGCTGGGGACACAGTCCAGCGAGAGAAAACTCTGGCTCATCAGCCAAACCCAGGGGCCAGAAACCCTCTCCCGCCAAAGCTGTTAAGAGGCCAGAATGGGCTCATCCTTCATACTGAGCCAGACATAACCACAGGCTGAGTCAAACATAACCACAAACTGAGCCAAGCAACCAGGAGACAAGGGCTTCTCTCCAAGCATGGAGCCCAGCCCTATACAATCCCAAGACTCCCCACTGCCCTCAGATAATGCCCAAGCCCCTTGGCTCAATGGTCCAGGCCCTCCATTATGTGGCCCTGCCTCCTCCTCTAGCTTTCCTGTGCCTTGGCCACACTAACCAACTGCAGTCTCCCCAAACCCAGGTTCCTCCATGACTCTGCCTTTGCACGTGTTGTTCTCTCCAAATAGAATGCTCTTCTTCTCGTCCCCTGATTATCATTCCCTCTTCTGGGTCCTCAAAGGCCATGTTCATTCCCCCACCCAACTTGTCCCATCACCCTGGGGTGTAGCTGCCTGCCTCCTGCTCTAAACCACGAGCTACTTGAGGGCTCAGGGAATGAGGCATCTCACCTCTGCATTCCCATACCAGGGCCTGACAGGCAAATGCTCTCCTGCAGGAGGGGAGCAGCTCTTGGGATCAAGGCCAGCTTGGGGTCAGGCAGTTGTAGGATCAGTGACAGCTCTGCCCATGCTCCCTGTGTGACCCTGGGCAAGTGCCTGTTCTATCTCAGCCTCAGTTTCTGCAAGTATGAAGCAGAATTCATTATAATCATCCCTATCCTCCTCCCAGGAAGGCTGTGAAGGATGAAGTCAGAGAGAGCACTTTGTAGACTACAAAGTGCTACACAAAGCGAAGCAATTATTGAACTGTGTAAGCTTCAGAGTCCAACAGACTTGCTATGTCACCTCTATGAGCCTTGGTTTCCTTATTTTTACCAAGAGGACAGCCATCCCCATGCCTACAAAGTGGTTAGGAGGCATCAACCAGAAGACGTGTGTAAAGGGCCAGCCACAAACAGAAGAGGCCGTCAACACACAGCAGCTCTTGCTGTGAGTACAACATCAGAGGGGATGTTCCTGGCGCATGATTACCTACCCCCATTCAGCCCAGCCCCAGATTCTGTAGGACTTTGCATTGAACACTACCGTTTACTTTATAAACATATCTGTCCAACGAGGCTATACATCTTCCCCCGCTGTGCCCAGCACAGAGTCTGGTATACAGTAGGTGCTCAGTCAGGAGGAAGAGTGGTAAGGGCTATTCTGGAGGAATGGTTCCCAACCTGGCTGCCCATCAGAATCACATGGGCTTGTTATTACATATGCAGATCCCTGGGCCCGACCCCAGATCTCCCCAGTCAAATTCTAGGGCAATGCTTGGGAATCTATCTTTACAAGCTGCCCAGGTGATTCTGAGGCATGCCAAGACCAGGATCTGTTGGATGGGAGGGTGCCATCCAGGTCCCTTCCCTCTCTAAGGCCCTGGCCCCCTCTCCCTGGACCGCGACACCCACTGACTCACTGGGCTCCCTGTCTTCTGTACATCCGCCAACCCAGACTCTCTGAGGCTGCTACAGTAATACTTCTGAAACAGGTCTTCCAGGGTCTCCCACTGCTCCAGGAGAAAGCCCAGGCTCCTCCACCTGGCAGCCCCAAGGCCCTCGCCTCACCACTCTTCCTCCTGTGGGCCAGCACCATGAAATCGCTTGGGGTTCTCTGAGAGACATTGTAGCCCGTGTCTCAAGAACACCAGACATGCAATCTTTTGACCCATGCTAGTTGTTCCTTCCTCCTTCCCCAACAAACTGATTCTGCTTTCAAGCTTAGATGTTACCTTGTTCGGGAAGCCTTTCCAGTGTTTCTCCTGTGCCCCATCCCCAGGGCCCTGGGCTTCCACATCACAGTTTCATCACATTGTGTTATCACTGCCAGGGTCTGTTTCCCCCTCTAGCCTGTGGCCTCCTCAAGGACAGAGACCATGCTTTATGCATCTGTGTCCCTGGTAACTGACTCAGGGCTGCTGGGCACAAGTCAGTACATAGGAAATGTACATGAACGAATGAATAAATGCACAGGTTCTTATCCAGGCTTGGTGACCTGGAACTACCTGTGCCTCAATTTCCCCATTTCTAAAGCAAGACGTTGTTTTAGAGCAGTGGCTTTCAAGGCTAACCATGAGTTTTCTCAGAGCTGCAGAGAAGGAGGTGAGGCTCCTACCCTCTCTGAGGTTTTACCCAGAGCTGCCCCACCCACTTTCATCTGTGTTACAGAAAAGATTAAACAAAGAGTTCTAGTGCTTTAAAACACACACACACACCTTCATGCCACTGGACTGGGTGACATCTTTGGCCGGTTACTTCTAACGCCTGAGACAACCAGAGACACAGATTCCACAGAGAAGCCCAGGCCAGCTAACCAAGGTCACCTGCTGGCCTGCTGGAACCTGGGCCCCCATCAGCACAGATTTCCACTCTCAATAGACAGGAATGAAAAGCAGGAAGTAAAGGAACCAGTCAGACGACAAAGGCAAGGTGGTGTATGATGTAAGCCCTCCCTGGAACTTCAAAGCTTCAGTAAAGAAACAAAATTCATAAATCTGGAGAAGACCAACCATCACTGGGGACTAAAGAGAGGCTCTTACGAATGGCAGTGCACACAGAGAACCCACTGCAGCTGCCTAGGGTGAGTGCCTAGAGGGCTGTGGCCTGAGTGTGATAGGCAGAGAGGGTCCACCACAAAGTAGCATGCTGTCAACCCAACGACAAGGAATGCTGCTAGAAACATATCCCCAGCATGAGAGCTCTAACCCCACCAGACCCACCCTAGCTCCATTTACCTTCTCACCCCGGTTGGAGAGTGGCCCATCCATATCAGCTTTGAGGTGGACAGGGGGTGCGGTGTAAGGCAGCCGGCAGTGCACCTGCCCACATTGTACCTGACCTGTGGATGAGAGGATGCCTTGGAGCCCATCCCTCAGCCTCCATGTAGGATCCCACCTGCCCCAGGCTCTGCAGCCTGGAGTCCTAGGACCAGTTTTACCTCTGCCATTTACCAGCTGGGTCACACTGGGCAAGATTTCAGTAGGGCTGGTTGAGATGTTCTTTGTGAAAGTCCTTATAATCTATGAAGTGATATATGATGGCTAGGGTACAACTGTACAGCCCATTGATAAATAAACACTCTAAATGAATATATATTGAATGTCTCCTTCATACAAGGCTGTACCCCACCTATTAAGATCCTCCCTCAGGGCCTTGTACTTTCTTATCCCACAAGGGTTACCCTCGTACCTCCTAGAGGACTCTGCTCACGTGTCACCTTCTTCATGATACCCTCCCAGACCACGCTATTTACAATTACAACCCAACATCACAACCCACCCCAATCCTCTCTGTCCTCCTTCCCTGCTTTTTTTTTCCTCCTTAGAACTTACCATCATCTTACTCACTATGTATTTTTATTATTTATGTGATATTATCTGTCTTTATCAATCAGAATGCAAGCTCCATGAGGGCAGGAGTTTTTGACTGTTTTCTAGATTCTAGGTCTAGGTCTAGGCCTGGTATCTACTAGGTACTCTTTAAATATTTGCAGAATGAATCTCTAGCCCCGATTTTAACACCTAAAACTGTTGGGGCAAGTTCATCCTTGTGTCTGATCCAAATCTCTCATCCTTCAGCCTGTTTACCATTACAGTGGAAAAGATCATTGCCTGTCTCTTCTTCCCTAGACATCATCTTTGGTCACTGGGGACAAAGCCCTGGACAAAGACTTACAACCGATATGTGACTTTGGACAAGTCACTATGCCTTTCTGAGCCACAGTTCTCCCATCTGTAGAATAAAGTAATTGGATTTAATAGGGGATTCTCAACCTAGGGTGTTCTAAAAATCCATAAATAGTGCAAAATTACAGAGCAAACTGTGTGTATATGCATTTTTCTGGGATCTGGTTCCAAAGATATCATCAAATTCTAAGCTATAAGGCTCCAGGAAACTCAGGATCCTGTGATTTTTGTTAATTGCAAAGCAAAAGTTCATTTTTCTGGTGTCTGGTTCTAATACTTTCATTAGCTTCCCAGCTGGCAGGCTTCAGAAAATTCCCGGCCCCACAACTGTAGTTAATGGTAAAGCAAAATGCTGAGATGACTTTCAGTCACGCAGCAAAATGCAGCAGGTCCATATGCACTGCGCACCTCCTGCCCCAAACTGGGTTCTGCCTCAAGGGGATGAGAAAGGGGTACCTTCAGGCCCTCCTCTGGGCACTAAAGACAGGTTTGGGCCTGGTCAACAAAATGTGTGGGCAGAGTCCTGGCCAGGGGTTCTGGAGGCCATGGCCCTACTCCCGAGGGGGTCACCTAGATCCATTATCAACTGTCCACATGAAATGTTAGCTAGTTGCCCAGACCCCTGGTAACTAGAGAGCCCCTGATCCTTGGTGCCTTTAACAGACAATCCAGGTGTTTAACATGGGCTCTGTGCAGCCTGAACATAAGTCATTGCTTAGAAAACAAACACGGAAAAAGTCCCTCTTACTGAGCAGATGACTGAGAAATGAAACAGTATAAAGAGACATGGTTTCAACTGGCAGCCTAGGGCAGTAGTCAGGATCCTAAATGGGGACTCTGGACCCCTAATTCTGCCAACAAAAACCACCAAAATCACAATAGCAGCTAATCCTTATTCAGTACTTACTAAGTGCTGAAGACTTTAAATCAGTCATCTCATTTGACGCTCACAACATCACTTTGAGATAGGTACTCTTATTATCTTCATTTTTACAGATGAGGAGACTGATATTCAGAGAAGCTAAGAAACCTGACTAGTGTTAAACAGCCAGTAAGTGGCAGGCGGGTGAGATATAAAGCCTGGTCGTCTGACTCCAAAGCCCATGCTCAACCATTAAGGAATACTGGCCCCCACTACCTTACTGTGGGCCCTTGGTTTCCTCATCTATACAATGCAGATAGCGATCTCTGATGTTTAGAGACATGAATAGTCTGGTCAGTACAGAGACTGGCACATAGCAGGGGCTCAATACACAGTAGTTCTCTCTCTGACCTCTTTTCTCTTTCCCTTTTTCCTGCAGCCAGAGAAGGGAGGAGTTTTGTTTGTTGCCATGTGTGTGAGTATGTTGTGGCCACTTCTTTTGTTTTTTTCATAATGCCCAGCTTCAAGGAAATGATCAATGAAAACAACCCCAAAGAGAAAGAAAACCTGCCACAAACACCTACTCAGTAGCAGATTCACACAATGCTCATCCCCCAGAAATGCATGTGGCTACTCCCTCACTCCTCCAGGTTCCCACTCAAAGGTCAGTCCACCATGACCCTCCATGTCCCCCACAGCACTCATTCGTGGCTGACATGCCTGCCCTATCTCCTTTATTTGTTCATTGTCTCTCCACCCATCTCCCACTCTGGAATGTCAGCTCCACAAGGACAGAGGTTTTGGCCTATTGTGTTAACTTTTGTATCCCAGTGCTTAGAACCCAGAAGGCACACAAAAAGTATTTACTGAATGCATGAATGGATTCTCACAACCCTGTGAGCTAAGCAAGTATTATTATTACAGTTTACAAATGAGGAAACTAAGGTTCAAGGAGGTTAGGTGACTTGCCCAAAGTCCCATAGCCTGGGTGCTGCTGCCACTCTGGCCTTCCACTCCACCAAACGCTCCCATGTTATCATTCCTTCTGGGACAAAGCCTGCCCACATTGGTTCCACTGCCCACACTCTTCCTCCCCAACTGGTGATACCTCACTAACTCCTACCCATCGTTTGGGTCTCAGTTTGCTGAGAGACAGCCCCAGTCCACATCTCTAGACATTCCCAGCCAGCACCTTTCCTACAAGAATTATCACAATTAAAACGACACCCTTCTCTGTTTGATTATCGCTCCAGGCTGTCTCCCCCACCAGAACACAGGCTCCCCAAGGGCAGGGACCCATCATCCTGTTCTCTCCCTAGTCTCCCGGAACAGAGTGGATGCTTAGAAAGTACTTTTTTTCAGTGGCTGAACGGCTTGTCTGTACTAAGAGCTCTGACCCACTGAGGCAGACCTGGGAACTCCTCGCGCCCAGATCTTCACCCGCAAGGCTCTGTAAGGCTTCCCCCACGCCTTGGCCTCGACCTCACCCCCACCCCGCGCGCGCTCCTCTGCGCCACCCTCTCCGGTAGACCCACGTGCCGCGGTCACTTACTCTCAATGTAGCCATGCAGGGTGACCATGCGAGCCCGCTCGGGGCTGCTGAACCGGGAGTAATGGATGTCGTCCGACAGGGCGGAGGGGAGGCGGGACGACGGTGCCCCCGAGGGCGGCACGGGATGCTGCGGCGTGTGTTTTTTATGACGCGCCCGGCAATTTTGAAACCACACCTGGAACGACAGCCTCAGCAGCCTCAACCTCACGGAAACAGGTTGCACTCGCCTCGTCACCGGCTGAGGAAACTCTGCCACGTGCGTCGCGACCCGCGGCTCCAAAGCCCAGCTACGCGCTTTAGGGCCTTCCCCCAGGTCTCTACGCTCCTCCCCAGACACAAAGACCCCGCCCCGCCAGGCCCCACCTGGATGACCCTCCTGCTGAGGCCCGTCATGTCCGCCAGCTTCTGCAGCGTCTGCGCGTCGGGGTTGTTGTCCTGCGCGAACTGCGCCTGCATAACCTGCCAGGCGCCAAGGGGATGGAGTGGGTGGCGGTGAGGCAGTAGCGCGCGGGGGGTCTCAGAGGCCCCGGCCCAATCAGAGACTCCAGCCCGGCGGCCACGCCCCAGGCAGCTACAGCCCCTCTCCGCCACCCGCGGGTCTGGGCCGAGGGGGAGGAGCCAAGAGGCCCCCGAGGCCCCGCCCATGCCCCGGCCGCGCGCGGCCTACCCGGGTACCTGCAACTGTTCAGCTGTGAAGGACGTCCGCGCTCGCTTGGCCGGCTTGGGCTGACTGTCCTGTTCCGAGGGCACTGCCCCCTCCAGCGTGAGGCCGTTCCCTGGGGGCGACAGAAGCGGCTGACCACGCGACCCCATCTCTTCTAGTGGCAGCCTGGAAAGGATGGGGGTCGGGGGTAGGGGGAGCTGGTCCCTGGAAGGGTCGGGAGCGGAGTTGGCTGGGAGTGGGGAGCCCCGGGTCCTAGTCTCTGAGCTCAGTCTTTGGGGAAGGAGCTCGCGTTTCTGAGCGTCCGCTCCGTACCGGACGCTTCTCTTTCGGTATATCATTTACATCTCACAGCCCTGGGAAAGGGCGCCGTTATCCCCGTTTTACAGCGGAGGAAACTTCGGTTCCGAGGAAAGAAAACAAACCAAAACCTCTGTCCCGGACCATTCGACTAGGATTCTGAAAGCTGGCTGACCCTAGCCCCCCAAAGTGGGCTTCCCTCCTAGCTAAACTGGGGGAAACCAACTGCTGATGGAGACTGGAAATAAGCAAGTTACAGAACTATGATCCCATTTTTTGTAAAAACGGGTAGAAGAAAAAAGTTGGACGGATATACGCCAAGGTGTTAGCGGTCGTTGCCTCCGAGGGGTACGATTAAGGACACTCTCTACTTTCTACATTTCTGTAATAGTTAAAGTTTTTACAAAAATCATATGCCACCTTATTTCTCTAAGGTTTAATTTTGTTAAGTGGAGTATATATTAGATTTTTTTCCCACTTATATTACTTTTACAACCATACTAAACCACTAAATATATTCCCATTTATTTTTTACTACCTTATTTTTCTAAATACAAAAGTAACATATGCTCCTTACCAAAAACTCAGAAAATAAAGATAAGCACAAAGAAGAAAATAAAAATCACCAGCAATTCCATCACCCAGAGATAACCACTGTTCACAATTTATTGTAATATATTGTAATTAGGAAGAAATTATGTTGGAATAAAACAAAAGAAACACTCCTATATACATACATAGAAAAAATCTGGAAAGATAAAATAAGAAGGGTGGTGGCATTTGGTGTGATCTTTCTTTTCTTCTTTTCTGCTTACCCATTTTCTCTAGTTTTTCTAAATGAACATCTGTTTTGTTTTGTTTTTAAGTCTAAAAAGTAAAACAGTAGCCAACAGTGAGGGCTGGTCAATAAGGGAGACTGGAGGCTGGAGCCTCCGAGGCCCTCTGGCTGTGAGAGGTAGTGTGTAACTGGCAAGGCTGTGACTAGGGGTGGTCCTAGTTGGTCCACCAGGGGTGGAAGGAGCCTGGGGTCACTGATGGGCCATGGTGAGGGGAACGCTCTGGCTCTGACTCCTGGGTTTCCAGCCCAGCTCCACTGCTGACTTGCCTGCCACTGCAGATAACTTTATAGCACCCCAGCTTCACTTGCTCCCCACTTAGCCCTCATCCTGGCAGGAGAAAGTGATGGTCCTGGCATGGTCAAGGGCAGGGGCACTCTGTGAGACTCCAACTGGACCCCAGGTTGGGCCTGGAAATTGAAGCAGGCAGTCCATATCCCCACCCTAGAGGTCGAGCTAGAGATGGGGCAGACATTTAGTGATAATAACATCCTCTGGGGGAACTGGCAGTGCAAGAATTGGTGTGCCTATGCTTTAGATGGGAAAATGAAACCCATGGAGGCAGCCACATCCCAGCAGCCTCCCTAGCCTTGTGAGTTCTGATTAAGGAGTGCTGGAGCCCTGGTGGCACAGTGGTTAAGAGCTTGCTGCTAACTAAAAAGGTCGGCAGTTTGAATCTACCAGCCGCTCCCTGGAAACTCTATAGGGCAGTTCTATTCTGTTCTATAGGATCAATATGAGTCGGAATCGACTCAACGGCAACAGGTTTTTTTGTTTGTTTGTTTTGGAGGTTGCGGGGTGGGCTGCATAGTATGGTGGTTTAAGAGTCTGGGCATTGGAGTCAGGCAGGTATACTAGTATGTGACCTTCAGCAAGTTACATACTGCAGATAACTTCTACCTATTTCCTCAGCTGCAAAATGGGGATATGCCACCTACTTCCTAGGGTTACATAAAATAATCCATGCTACAGATAAGTTAGTAGCTTCCACAGACCTGGACAGGGGTATTATAAAAAGGGTCCCTGCCTCTGTCCACAACCCAGCCTCCACACCCCTACTACAGCCCCCATCCTACCTGTGACTCAGCCCTCACAATCGCCCCAAAGACCTGAGCCTGCCCTATGTGTCTTCGGTAATCGCAATGTCAGAACCAGAAAAGATTTAGGAATCATTCTAGCCCAACATCCATCTTGCACAGACTGAGGCCCAGAGACAAGGAAATTTCATGTGACAGCACAGCCAGCCAGAAGCCAAACTGGAGCACAGGTGTCCTGTCTCAGAGGTCTGAGCTCTGTCCCCGTACAGTTAGAGATCCTGGTCCAGGATGAAACCCCCACCCCCCAAACCTCGGGCTTGGAGCTTCTAGGGTGAGGTGAAGTTGGGGGAATAGGGTCGTGTCCTCTCTTCAGGACTGGCCTAAGCCTGCTTCCAGGCAGCTTGAGGGGATGAGACAGGCCAATGAGAGCTGTCCAAAAATGGAGCAAACTACACCATTAGGAGAATCATCTCTAGCATTTACTGTCTCCTGGCTTTACTACACCAGCTCAGCTATCTGCCCCATTTTAGAAATGAGGAAACACAGTTGCAAAGAGGGCAGTGGCTTGTCCAAGGTCATGCAGTATGAGCAAATAAACGGTAGAGCCAGAAACACTGGCTCCACGCCCAGCCCCACCCCAGCCCACCTCCAGGCCATCTAGGGAGAGGCACTGGGCAGTTCCTGGGATGCTGGGGTGGAGTGGGAAAGGGCTGGGGGCAGAGGTGCAGCTGGATGCTGGGCTGTGCAAGTTGGTTACCGTTCTCCGCGGCCCTCTTGAGGTTCTCGATCATGGTGTCATAGTGGATACGGCACAGCACCTTCTCCTCCACTAGGCCGAACTCCTCTCCCGTAGACAGCTGGCGCTTGCACGAGAAGCAAGCGAAGCAGGCCAGGTGATAGGCGTTGCCGCGTGCCCTCCGCACCCAGTCGCTGGCATAGATCTGTCGGCCGCACCTCGCGCACTTGGTCCCGAATCGGCTGCGGGGACACCGGGCCGGGGAGGAGCATGGTGAGGCTCAGACAGCCCCACCACCACCACGCCGCCTGCTCCCAGCCTCCTAGCCTCATTGCCTACCTAGGCTTTTGCATTTTCTTTTGCCTGGATCCACCACCCGTCTACAGCCAAGTCCCACATAGATGGTGAGCTGGTGGATGGTTTTTATTTGCTTCTTGGTACTTTCCTGAGTTTTCCAAATTTTCTACCATAAGCACTTATATTTGTATATGATATTTATTTGTTTATTAAGACAGATCGTAACTATTAGGAAAACATAGTAATAATGATAATAGACACAATTTTTAGCATTTACCATGTGCCCAGCAAGATTCTAAGTGTTTTACATGGATTATCTCAATTGATCCTCATTTTGCAGATGTAATTTGTCTAAGGTCATACAGCTGGAAAGGATAGGAACCCGAGCCAGTTTCCAGAGATGAATGAGCTGTAACCCCAGCTCTAGAGAAGCTCAGAGTTTCTTGGAAGAATAGAGAGATATGAACTTACTGGCTATGCTACCCTGGGCAAATTGTTCAACCCCTCTGAGTCCTCATTTTCTTTGCCCTGAGCTGAGCAAAGATGACAACAGCAATGACTACTACTATTTGTCTAGCACTTTGCAGTCAACTAAGTACCCAGCTACTCCGAGCATACCAGGATTCCAGCCTAAGGAACCAGACTCTGGAGCGTTCTAACACTGAATGTTAAAAAAGACAAAATAAATCCTACCCAGACTCAAAAGCCCAGCTCGGATGTCCCTTCCCCTCCTTGATATAATTCTTCCTCTCCTCCTTCTCTCCACTTTGCAGAGTGGCTATTTGGGTATGGCTATATCCACCACCAGTCTGGGAGTCCCTCCAGGATGCAGCATAGTTCTTTTTGCCCTTCTCCTAGAGGTCAGCTCAGGGCTGACCCCTGGGCACCAAGGAGGGTTTATTCCTTTTGTGGATGACTCTCCCTGTGACCCTGTTGCAACCCTTTAAGCCTCAGTTTCCTCCGGTGTACACTCACTTTCAGGGAATGATGCCACAGCTCATCCAGTGCCTCAAGCTTGGAAACCTAACCCCACACCAACCGATTATCAGGGGCCATGAGTTCTGTTTCCTAAGCATCTGTGGATCCATCTCCTCCTTTCCATCTCCACTGTCACCATACTAGACCAGGTTCCCATCATCCACTCACCTCACTGCCAGTCTCTGCCCTGGTCTCCCTGCTTCCAGTCTCGCCCCTGCCAACCCACCCTCCACACAGTAGCCACAGCAAAGTTTCCAAGGTACACATTGAATCTTGTCCCTCCCTTGCTTAAAATCCTTTGGTGGCTCCACAGTGCCCTCAGATCCATCCAAGATCCTTGGGGTTTACTCAGCCCATTTTGTCCCTAATCTTTCTCAAATCTTCCTTCCCCTTCCCCCAAGCATGAGTCTCAGTCAAGCACATTGGAAGTTCAGTGCTAGGCCTCCCTGGAGGACTTTCCCACTCCTCAGGCCTTTGCACACGCTGCTACCTCTCCCAATACGCCCTCCAGCAAAGTCCCACAGCTCCCAACCGGCTCTCTCAGCACTGATCACACAGGTTTATAAATGTCTGGTTCTTGGTTCTCCCCCTCCACAGAGTCCCAACCTCCTTTTGGGGAACGAGACTAAGAAATCTGCCTCTGTGTCCCCAGGGTGGTACCCTTCCACCCAGAGGGGCATTCAGAAACGCTTGAGAGTGCGTGAATAAACCAGCCCAGCAAAAAACGCTCTGGTTACAGCCTCGACTGCCTTGGCAACTTCAGGTAACTGCCGGTTGAATAAACGGTCTTTGGTCGAACTGAGGGCAGAACCAGGAGGCCCGGCTCGGCCACTCTCAGCTCCTGGAAGCGCCCCAGAGCCCTCTCTCTCCGACAAAGAGAGCAAGGGGACATTGACCCGGAAGGCACGGTTTGCTCACGCCGCAGGGCGCGTCTTTGACCGTCAGCAGCCCCACTAAGCAGACGCAATGCTCAACCTTGGAAATTCCGCTTCCCCTGGGCAGAGCCCAGCACTACCCGTGGTCTCTGTTCCCAATCCTGCAGTAGAGGGTAGAGGAAACTGCTTTGCCCACCGCAGCCCACCCCCGCTGTGGGGCCGATCCTGAGTTCCGCCGCCCGGCTGGCGGTATTGGGAGTACTTTCTGGCCACCGAGAGGGGCTAGCTTTAGATTATTTGTGGTTCAGGAGTAGGAGGCGACCTGCCCTGTGCTAAGCCCTTGCAGCAGGCAGGGCTCTGGGGCGCAGCGCCTTCTTTGCACCCTGTCAGCTTCGTCGCAGCCCCGCGAAGTGGGTGCTCTGGTGCTCCTTTGGCATGTATGTAATCGGAGGTTCAGAACCAGCGAGCGACTTGTCCAAGGCCACACAGAGTGTGGGGCTGCGGTCTCTCGGAGGTGCAAAAAGGACCAGCAACCTACGGGAGTTGAACGGCGAGGTGGAAGATGGAGAAAGCCAGGATTTGGGGTGGATGAACAAGAAGTCCTAGTCTGACCGCGCCGCATTGCCACTTCGGGCCGCTGGCCCTGGAAACTCCCGAGAACCCGGTCTGGGGCCCAGCCTTTTCTGGAAGGCAGGGGACGAGGGGAAGGATCCCCAGGGAGAGGGGCGAGACAGTGCAGGAAAGGTCCCAGCTCTCAGAAGCTAGGAAAGATTGTCGGCGTCTCCGGCCTGCGGTCTCCGTGCGCCTTGGCCAGTGCGCGGCGCCAGAGTGTGCAGTTCGGCGTCCTGGCGCTTGGCTTTGCGGGGCAAGTCCAGGGACGCATTCGAGACTCCCCGCATAGCACGGATCTTCTCGCCCCAAGTCCCCAACGCCTGGGCCCGGCCTGCGCCTACACAGGTCGCTTGCAGTGGCTCCATCTGGGCAGTCCAAGGCGGGCGCCGCGAGTGACCTCCAAGCATCTTCTTCTCCCGGTCCCCAAGGCCAGGGAGGGGAAATACCCTGAGCATGACATCTCAAATGTCAGGTGTGTCTCCATCTCTAGGATCTACCGCACTAGCCGTGGCTCAGCCCAGGCAACGAAATCTTCCTCGCCCTGGATCTTTCGCGGAATCATTATTCGGGTTTGGATGCGTTGCGGACCGCTCCAGTAGCGCGTCCCCACCCAGGGCAGGGGTCAGAGGCACAAATAAGCGGCAGGAGGAGGCTTGCGGATCGAGGCTCTGACAAACAGGCTTCTCTCCAGGCAGGCTGAGAGTCCTGAGCCGCCGGATTCCGGAAACTGCGAAATCGGCGGCAGACGCAACGAAATTTCAAGAAAGGGGCGCTCAGAAGCCGCAAAGGGAGCGCGGAAGGAATCTGGAGGCGCGCCTACTGCCATCCCCGCCTAACTGTGAGGTCCAGGCGGCGCGCGCCCCTCCCTGGGTCCTGGTGCGCCCTGGACGAAGGCTCAAAGTACTGAAGCGCTTTAAGGATGAAGAGGTGTCAGACAGACACTGCACATCCTGGGGCCAGCCGAAAGGAACCGGGTGAGCACGGCGCACCGTCTTGCCACATATTCCCCGAGTGGGGAGCACAGATTATCTGAATATCCGTGGTCGTGCGGAGGGATCTGTGCACCCAAGGCCAGGTCAGCCCCACTCTCCCCGCCTACCTCACTTGGATGCCTAGTAAACCCTCAGAACCTAACAAATTCAATGACCTGGAGCCCACTGGGGTCTCACTACGACCTCTTCCCTGAAATTATGCTACTCCTTCTCCATATGGGAAAATTCAAGCTCCAAGTGGAAACGCGAATGTTAGTTACCAAGTTCGGGTACGGAAACTCAAAACAGAGTTCACTTATTTTGTATTCAGGATGCTCACTTGACGGCCTTAGACTCTATGTGTGAAACAGGGGAGATTGGAGGTGGAGCCCTTCCTATCCCCTCTGCTCCTTCCCTTGTATGCAAAACCCTTTGGAGAAGAAGCCGGAGAAAACCGAACCAGCAATTAAAAGGTTAAAACGCCCCGCCGCCTCGGAGGTCCTGTCCCAGGCCCCTCCCCCGAGCTCCCCTCTCGGCTCCCCCAACATCTGTCCCCCAACAGCTGGCGGCCGCTGGGCCGCTGTTGGCCGCGGTGGGGGGCCGCTTCCCGGCTTTGAGCCTCCCCGGGGACCCTCGCTCAGGGGGAGGGTATGGTTCTCCCGCTGGAGCCCGCAGACTGGGCTTGGGATGGAGTTGTAAGGCCAGAGAGGGCTGGGAGTGGGGTGGGGGGTGGGGGGTGCTTAAGTCACATGACCCAAGCCGAGGGACAGGAACTCTGGCAGCCTTGGCCCAGTCCAGGGCACTCTCTGAACCCCCACCCCCATAAACACTAGGGGAGGTGGTTAACCCTTCACTCCCCACTCCCATGGTTAGAAGGCAAGAGGGCCAGGTACCCTGGTGATCTAATCTTGGCAAAATTGCTCCTGCCCTAGTGCTCTCAGGGCCCACCCAAGGAGCGTCACACATCAGAGTACACAGTGGGTGTTCTCATGCTCATTGAGGAGCCAACCAAATTGGGTAGGGACTCTCAGGACAAGCAAAGAAGGGTCTTTGCCATTTGATGGGCCCCACCTTGCACCGAGGGGCAGCTGAGATAGCTCAGATATAGAAGGAGAGTATTGCGGTGTTAGGAGCAGGGATGGTGAAGCCAGTCAGTCATGGGGCCTATCCAGACCCTGCCACTTTCTAGCTGTGTGACCTCATCACTCGGGGCCTCAGTTTCCCTTCCTATAAAGTGGGAGTTATGGGAGTATCATACTCACATGGTAGATCAGAGGATTAAATGAGCTAAGGCGTGTAAAAGGTTTGACACGGTTCCTGGCATAGAGAAGGGTGCAGTGCATTTTGATGATGGGTGCCCTTGCCCCTGTCCAGCCCCTCTTCCACTCTCTCCTTCACTTTGTGACCCTGGGCACTTGATTTTTTACTTTCCCAGGGCCTCAGTCTCCCCAGCTATACGATAGGCACATGCTCTAGGAGGCTGAAGGAGCCAGGAGGGCCCTGCAGATCGGGTGATGCCCCATTTGGGGGGCAGCAGCTGCAAGCTGGCGGAAGTGAGAGGACTGTGGGAGGCTGTTTGGGGGTGTGGTTGCTGAGGGCAGTGGAGATGTGAAAACCTCAGCAAGGAACACTATTTTTTCCCAAGGAATTTTCTTTGCTTTTTGGAAGAAAATGAAAGAAAAAATGGTCTTCACAAAAAAAGTGTGGAAATTAAAAGCATTATCACATTTCCCAAATGGTAATTTTCTTCTATTAGGATTCTCAGGTGGTGAGGGGTGGAGGTAGGAATCTAGTTGAACCCCCAGGGCTGGTGAGTTCCCTGTTTGGAGGATGAGTTGAAAAAACGGAGGCAGAGAGGTTCAGTGGCCTGGCCAGGGGCACAGAGCCAGTGGAACCAACCCCCCTTCCAGTAATACAAATGAGCCAAGGGCAGCACTACGACCACCCCCACCTCCCATGCTCTGTAGCCACCTTCCCCTTCCCCGGTGAACTTGGAGTTCCTTACTAACCTCTTAACTTCCTGAGCCACCAACACTGGTTCTGCCGGTGGGGATTGAAGGAGGGTCTACCAGATAGACAGAAGGAAGGTGGCAAGGAGCGTAGAGATGGAGGATAGAATTGAGGTTAGAGGACCAGAGGGCCTTGAGGTCTTGACTACTCCCTCCCGCTGACCCACCCTAATGGGAGATCTTGGCCTCTCTTTAGGCTAGGTGCTCCAGTCCACATACCACCAGACTCTTGACCCTGGGCTTGGCTTTAGGAAACAGAAGCCTAGAGAATCTCAGCACATGACCCCTCCCTGAGCCCCAGCTCTCAAGAAGGGAACTCTCTCTCATGCCACTGTTCACACTGTCTCCAGGAAGAGCTTCCTCATAGCAGCCACCTCACAGCAGCCACCGAGAGCCTGGGCTGCCTCTCCAAGCACACAATAGTCCTTGCTTGGCGCTCTGCCGGCTATTTCTCTCCCTTTTTGTGGATTTTATTATTTTTGATACAGGTAGGACAGGTAGGACTGGCAGGGAGAGGTTAGGGAGACCTGGCTGAGGGAGAAATGATGAGAAAAGCCCTGGCCTTTCCGCAGAAGAGCCACAATTCTGTCCTCTACCCAGGCGATGGGAGCTTTTATTCTCTCCTTTTTTAAAACAAAAAACAAAAGATCTGGTTTAGTTTTGTTTTGGGGGCTCTTGTCACTGGAGAAAGATTAGTGCCCAGAACCTGCAGCCCAGAAATGGCTCAGCCCCCATCCTTTCAAGCAGGCCCTGTTCCTCAAGCTGCACAGGGGAAATAACATCAATGGACTGTGTCCAGTGACCACCCTGCCAATGGTAACAATGTGCTACTCACAGCACCCACAGCACCTGACACCGGGGGACCATTACCAAACCTTTCCCCTTTGCTGACCTCCTTGGCAGCTCAGGAAGACAACACTGGAAGGGGGAAACTGAGGGCAGAGAGATGCAGTGGCTTGCCTAAGGAAACACGATGATTCAGTGTTGGCCTGATGAGCCCAGGCTCCTGCCTCTCCCCAGAGCTGCACACCCTACCCTCTACCCCACCACCAGAGGTAGTGGAGGCTCTGAACAGTGGAGTCAGGTCTAGTTCAACAAAGACTAGTAAAGCACAGCCTACAAGGAGGCTCAGTCTAGCCAGGGCATGAGCTGGGGCTGGAGATGCAGGGATAAAACATTGGCAAGCGGCTCCCAGGACTGCCAGGACCATCGTCACCAGAAGAGCTAGGAGAGGGGTCCTGTCCTGCCTCTACAGAGTGAGGCCCAGACACCATCCTACTGGATTCCCCAGGCTGGAGCCCTGTCTTTGACTAGCTGATAAGTCCAAGGAGCCCTGAAACAGCAGCTAGCCTTTTTCTTTCCTTCCTTTTTTTTTTTTTTTTTTTTTTAACCAACTGAAGTCAGGCCTAGAGCAGGGAGGTGGCTAAGCATAACTCTAACCCCTGTTTTCTGCCCTGACCAAACCAACAGTCAGATGGAAGTGTCAGGGGAGACATCAAATTCTGTTCACACATCACACACATCTGCTTAACCGTGAATGCGTGCCCTTCACAATGATAATCTCCCCCTGGCATATACACACAGGGTTCCACATTCACAAATATACATTCGCATAGATAGATACAGAGATAGACAGGATCACATCCTGGATTCCTCATTGCCTATGTGGAAGGCTTTAAGCAGGAATGCCCTCTTGGAGGAAGGAGTGGGGATGGGGAATGATGGGATTTCAGAATCCCTTCACCCTACCTCATTCTCTCACCTCTGGTCCTGTCCGTAATCCTGTCTTGACTACCTTGCACAAACACATAAAATCCCAACATGTACATATAGACACATTCTCGCTGTTCACACATGAACTGAAAGACAAAATGTTTGTCAATAAAGGAACACACACACTATCCAAACACCCCTGACACAGCTCAGTGACACATTTGCCCAGCCCAAGTGCACAGATTCCAGATAATGTGACACACATACACTCTTTTTATGCACAGTCCTAGGCCACCTGGCAGAGCCCCCCAGTCTCCCCCAGCTGCTCACTCTTTCACAGCCATCACACAAAGGAAGAATCAACCCCTTTCACCAGGCTTCCTATGGGTTTCCCATAGCATCCCAGCCCCAAACCCTGAAAACTTCCTCCCCTAGACTCAAAGTTCTCTCTTTTCAGGACCCTGGAGGCTCAAGACCAGGGGTAGGAAGGTGGGCGTTGCCTTCCACCATATTCTCTGAACTCTCAGAGGATCTTCCTGGGGGCAGAGGTCTTCCCAGAAAGACTGAAGCCCGGACCTTTCCTGAGGCAAGGATGGGAGGATGTCTGGGGGTGGGGGTGGGGGGCAGTGAGAGAGCAGCTTTCTCCACTTCCTGAGAAAGCACTTGTGAACAGCGTCCCTCCCAGGAACCAATCCCACTCCAGTCTCCTGGGACTCAGTAGGCCCGTAGCCTGACATCAGGCCAGATTCATCTTTCCACCGGGATGGGGCGGTCAGTCGTGGCGCCCTTGACCTCGCAGTGACCTCGACCCCTAGACCTGGTCAGACCCCCGCAGCGTGGCTAGAAACGAGGCGCCCACAAGTGGCGGCAACATGGCGGTATGGCAAGAGGACCTCTGTCTTGAGCTGCCGGACACGGCTTGGCCGCGCGGAAAGCACGGCCCAGAGCAATTCCCACTCAGGGTACTGGGCTGCTGCGTCCGACTCTGCCCTTTCCGATCCCGGCGACCCAAATCCGGAGCCAGAGCCTGGATCCTCGACAGGCCGAAGCCGGGGCTGGAAACGACGACGGAACTGTGACTGGAATGGGCGCTGGGACCCCAGTGGGACCCTGGACCCGAAATGCAACACGCAAGGGACGCCTGAGTCTGAGCTGAGGCAGAACCGGAGACCGAGGCCGGGGCTCAGGACCAGGCTCTTGGATATGGATGGGATCGGATCTGAGACGGATGGGGCCTAGTGCTTGGGGCCCGACGAAACCCGAACCCAGAGAGGAGCCCAGGTCAGAGTCAGGGTACGAGTATGGAGCCGAGTTCAGGGTCCGGCCCCGGAAGGACCCGGGCACTGCTAGAGTAGGGTTCCAGCGTGAACCCAGAGCAGCAGCCACATCGCGGCCGGGATCTGGAGCCGGTCCGGGCCAGAGCCGGGAACCTCAGAGCTCGACCGAGGCGCTTGAGACCGGAACTGAAGTCTGAAACTTAGGCAGGACCCGAGGCGGAGCCAGAGACGCGACCGGGCCACGGGAACGAGAGGCGGATCGCGGGCCCGAACCTGTGACAGTACCTGCGCGCGGCCTGGAGCTCCGGGTTCGCGGCGTCGTGCCGGCGGGCAGGGCCCGCGCGGCGCGCCGGGAGTGTACTCGGGACGCCTGAGCTTGGGAGCTGGAGACCCCGCGCAGCAAAGGCGGCCTCTGCGAGCGCCCGGGTCCTGCCTGCGGCGGTACTGCTGGCTCAGCTGCCGCAGCCTACCTGAAGTAGTCCATCTTGCAGAAGATTTCCTTGTTCTTGATGTAGCAGCTGTTCTGCTGCCGCAGAGACGTGCGACACACGGAGCACTCGAGGCACCGCACGTGCCAGATGAGGTTGTTGACCTGGGGAGGGGGCGGGGAAAAGGGGCGGCTCAGCGCTGACCTCTTTCACACAAGTCTCCAGCCTCCTCCGCCCGGTTTGCAGACCCAGACGCTGGAGCTTAGAAGGTGCGTATGACTATTTTTCTTCTGTAACACTGTGGCTTAGGAAGGCAGAAATAAACTCTTCCCGTTTTACAGATGGGAACTCGGGGGCTCAAAGAAAACTAACACTTGGCCCAAGACGGCCCAATCAAGTAGAGGCTGAGCCGGGATTCGGAATGAAGCCGGCGTTGCTTCCCGCCGGTCCTCAGGGCTGCACCCTTTCCCTTCCCCAACACATACACGTCCGCGCGCGTGCGCAACACACACACACACACACACACACACACACACACACACACACACACACACACACACACACACACACACACACACAAACACACACCACCCGCCCTTGTCTCACCTTGAGCAGATACCGGTCCAGAATCTCGAGGCCGCAGCTGGAGCAGATGTTCTTGCCTGTGGACGGCACAGACGAGGCCGCAGAGGGCGGCGAGCAAACGGATGGTGTGCTAGGTGTACAGGGGGAGGCCCGACCCTCGTCCTTGTCCAGAGCGCCTGCCAGGGCCTCGGCGTCGGACTGAGCCTGCAGTAGAGAAGAGAGGGAGAGCGCGGCGCTGAGCGGGGCGCGCAGAGTTGCCGCTGTCTCGGAGACAAATCTGGGGCTCTAGAGTGCTGACAACGAAGTCCCCCCGGGGCTCCCCGCCATGGGCTGGAGGACAAGAATGGAAGGGCCTATTGGAGAGGAAGGGACGACCTCAACTTTTAACATGCGCGTCTTGGGTGCCGGAAGCGGTCAAAGGCCACATTTCTGGCTGGAAAACGGAGGCTCAGAGAGGGGCGACGCCTGCGGGAAGTCGCCGAGCGCGTGGACCAGAAAGCCGGGCCAGGTCCCCAGGGCTGGTTCGCAGGGGACCGGGGACCGAACGGACTCACCATGGTGGGCGGCGCAGTCCCCTCAAGGCAGCGGGTGTTCGCTTTGCAGCCGGACCCAGGCTGGGCCATCACCTGGGGGAGGGGGGGTAGAGGAAGCGAACGCAGGCGGCGGCGGCGGCGGCGGCTGCAGAACTGGCTCCGGGCAGCCTAAGCCCAGCGCCTCCCCGCGCCTGTTATATAAACCCGCGCCGAACAATGAGTCCTAACTTTGTAGTGGGCATTTAAAGCCCTTCCCCACAAAAGCGGTGTCTCTCTAATGAAGCAATTTGAATTTGGATTGGATTTTTTCCCTCTCTCTCCCCCTCTCCCTGCACTTAACCCGTGGCTCTTGAAGTAATCGCTTAGTTCCCTTGCAATCCAAGCCTCCGAGGGGGAAAAAAACACGCGCACACACACAAACTACCTGCAATTAGAAATTGTCGTGAATGCCCAAGATAAGAGGTAGCCAGAGTGTCAATTCCAACTGTCAATCAGTGAGATCCATCAGGCCGCCCAAAGAATTGCAAATTTGATTTTTTAATGGTAGTAATTAAAAATCGAATTTTTCTCTCTCCACCCACCCCCCTTCCTCGCTCCCTTCTCCTCCTCTCGGCACAAAATGCAAAAGGGAGAAAAGAGAGAAAGAAAGAAAATAAAAAGGAGATGAGAGGTAAGGAAAATAAAACCCGGAGCGCCTGGAGCATCAGCCAGCCCGCATTGCGCGCGCGGCGAAACTGACGCGGCGATATTGACACGGATTTGGGCGCTTTTCGAGGGCCAGTCCGAGGGAAACCCGAAACAAAATAGGGGCAAGAGCGGGGGCAAAATGGGACCAAAAGGAGAAAAGAGAGGCTTCCAGGAGGAGGAAAAAACACCCTCCAGCCCTTCGGCGCGCCCAGGACCGGCCCCGCTTTGGGATTCGCAGCGTTGCGCCGGCACAACCCCTGGCGCATCGGCGCTATCAGCGCCTATTCAGACGGACAATACCGGCCTCGCCTCCTCTTGATTCGCTTGTGTTTTTGCTAAATCGCTTTTTGAGAAATTCCTCCAACATTTGCATAATGCGTTCCCGCTTTCCGCGCCCCCCCCCCCGCCCCGTGCTCGTGCGCGCTCACACACTCACATACACACTCGCAGGCGCACCCCCGCACCCCTCCTCCCTGCCGCCTCCCGCCACCGGCCCGGCCCGGTTGGGTCCCGGCCCTTGCCAATCCGGACCGTGGCCACTCGCTCGCTCGCTCACCTGGTCGGTAGAGCGGCCGCCTTCGGCCGGCAGCCGGCAGCCCTCCGGCAGAGCCGGAGCGGCGTTCTCATGCTTCCAGTACATGGGCCGGGGAGCGGCGGGCTCAGCGGGCGCACAGCGAGCAGAGCAGCGCCAAGGGGGGCCACGGCCGCCGCAGAAGCAGAAGCTGAAGCAGGAGCAGGAGGAGAGCGGAGGCGCCGGCTCCACCGCCCCGGGCCCGGCCTCAGCCCCGGTCCCCGGCCTGCGCCCAGCCCCGGCCTCCTTGGCTGCCGCTGCCGCTGCCTCCAAAGAAGGTCCCGACAAACTTGGAGAGGCCCCCGTCCCCTCCTCCTTCTCCTTCTCCTCCTCCTCTTCTCCCTCCTCCTCGTCCTCCTCCCCCTCCAGCTGCGGTGGCGGCCGCCCTGCCGCTGGAGCCCCGCTCGGTTCAAGATGAGTCATGCGTGACCAATCCCCTCCCAGCCAAGGGAGAGCGAGACACACACAGAGAGGCAGAGACTCAGAGAGACACAGAGACACAGAGACACAGAAACTCAGAGCTGCTGACAGAAGACTCAGACACACGCTGACATACAAAGGCACGCATCCACCCAGTTCTCACTACCGCCCCTACCTCAAGGGGCACCCACCTCCCTCAGGCACAACCCCGGTCATAGGTACAAGAGGGATCCATGGTCACACCACCTGCAGTGATGGATTCCATATAAAGTCACACATTGTACTTTGCTGATGCAATTCCACGCCAGGTACATTTGTGTACCTCCTGGTACAAATGATTACCTGTTCACATCATTTACACAGGCATCCACACATACCCTCGCACACCTGCGCAGATACCTCTGCTCCATACACCCAGGGAATGCACCAGCTCCTAAGGACTGAATGGGGTTAGGAAGTTACATGGGGGGGGGGGTAGTTTCCCTTCCCTGGGAGGGGTTGCCTGGGACATCCCACTTCCTTTCAGGATTTGCTGAGCCTCCCCTTCCAATGCCCATCTCACATGGGAGAAATCTCTAGGGCTCTACTGATAGTGAGAGTGGAGGAGAAGGCAGGGAGGCCCAAGCATTTAGATAGGAGACAGCTCCCAAATATACCCTGAATTCCACAAAACCCCCAAACTCAAAAGACAGCCTGGCTTGACACTAACACCCCACAGCATACAAATACAAGTGAATACCCACAGCCCTAGCTCCCTTCTCTATACACAAACTGAGTCTAGAGACACATGTAGAGATGAGATACACCCTCTTGTAAAAACAAATATGCACAACACTCAGATTTAGATACAGTTCTATAGACACCAAAACACCCAACCCCCACCCCATCACACATCCCATCGCCTCCATAATTGCCCTCATTTATAGATGTAAACACCCCCACACAATTGTTCTTATTATTGTACACACACCCATACTTAAGAGTGCACAGACTCCCACAGAGCTTCAAACCATATGCCATATAACCTTAGGCCCTCTACTCAGACACCCACAAATATGCACACGCAAATCTACAGATGGGAAAAGAACCATTTATAGGCAGAAACATCATACACATCTCTACAGACATATGATTCCCAATAGTCACAGTCTCAGTAATGCACACACACACACAGGCACATCCTAATGGACACAGGCAAACAAGGATATCTACATAACAACATAAAGACCCACATGTATACTATGAAAGATATGAACATCTGATCATTTACAGACATCAAGGTACACAAAAATAGCTCCAGCCGGTGGCATCCCCCACTCCCTGCATTCACACTGTTTGCTCTAGACACAGAAATTCAGAATGAAAAGAGTTTCTCTGTGAACCCTAATCTTTTATACCAAGAGCACAGACTGCAATGTGAGAGCTGGTGTGCATGTATGCACACGTGCACACACATACAAATGCACCCTCAAAAGGCCACATGGCCATAGATGAACAACTCCCACCTCCTCAAATATCTCTTTTGTACATAATCCCAGCTGCTACTCCTGTGTACTTTAATCCATGCCAGGCATGATGCTAAGCATTTTACACTCATGATCTCATTTTCTCTTCATAATAACCCTACGAAGTAGCATCTCTTATTGTGCCCATTTTACTGATGAAGAAAGTGAGGTTCAGTGAGATCATGTGATATGTCCAGACTAGTGCCACAAGAGTCAAGAATTCAAAACCAGGCTCGTCTGACATCAGAGCTCATGCTCTTGTTTTTTAGGCTGCACACACACACACACACACATTCCACAATATATGTGATGTGTGCAGAAGGACTCCAGGAAAGAAGATCATTAGGATTGTACTGGTTTTTGAAAACTTCTTAGGCAAGAAGTGTGGAGGAGGCTTGAGCTAAAAGTTAAAGGACAGGTGAAGTTTGGATGTGTTCAGGGGAGAGAACAAACTATTCCATGTAGAGAGATGATTGCAAAGGTTCAGAGACTGGACAAGCAAGCTGTTGCATTTCTATGGGAGGAATAGAGCATTTATTGAGCACTTGTGTGCCAAGCACTATGCTTGACATGCATTATCTTCTTTAACCCTTGAAGCAACCCTACAAGTTTATCCTTATTTTAATGTTGAGGAAACAAGTGTATGGGAGCCTCATGTCAAGCTCTGGCATGCAGACTCAGAACCTAAACTCTTACCTCTGGTGCAATTCTGCTCCTGAACTCTGAGTAGGTGCTCAGAAAATAAAAACTGGGAGGCATTAAACTTAGGAGTGAAGCACTCTAGAGCCAGGTTGTCTGAGTGCCAGTCTTGGCACAGCCCCTGAAAAAAACGAACCATACCTGCTGCTACTGAGTCAATTCTGATTCATGGCAACCCCATATGTGTCAGAGTAGAACTGCTCCATAGGGTTTTCTTGCCTGTAGTCTTTATGGAAGTAGATCACCAGGCCTTTCTTCTATGGTGCCGCTGGGTGGGTTCCAACCACTAACCTTTGTGTTAGTAGTCCAGCGCAAACCATTTGAGCCACCCATGAACCTTTGACATAGCCCCTTAGTACTTGCATAATCACGGACAAGTTATTTCACCACTAGTTCAGTGTTAGTTTCCTCATCTGTAAGATGGGAATGACAACAAAATCTAACTCTATAATTTGTGAAAATTATAGGAATGGTCCATATAGAGGACTCAGAACTGCCTGGCACACAGTAAGCAGCCAATAAACATTACCCATTAATACAACAGGGACTGGCTGCATTTTCCAGTTATTATTCTACTAGGTATGACATCAAATCCTTTATGGAACAAGGCAGGGCATTCAACGAAACACTCAAATATTCTCCACTTACCTAAAGAAGCTACAGAATGATTATTTCAACCCAGGGCTTGCCTGACTTCAAAGACGATGGAAGTGAAACTACTTTGAAAAAGAAACCCTCTTCCAGCAACCCCAAACTCCAGCAGGAAAAAGAGCCCCATTAGGAGTAACCCTGGCAAAATTTTAGATTAGCAAATTTCATACATTTCATCAAGATACTTGATTTCTTCCTGCAGGAGACTGTGGGCAAGCTGCTTTGCTTCAGAGTCCCAGTCTCTTTACTCGCAAAATGGGATAACAATACTGATCTCTCAGGATTGTGGTGATGATTAACTATATTATTAAAAACCAATATTTTTTAAAGTGCTAACTCCATTCCTGGGATTGTATGAAGTGCTTTACATGTATGATGTCGTCTGGTTCTCACCACAATCCTTCTGGGCACTGACCGGATGTGCTCATATTGTCCTCTGAGTGAATTTTGCCATCTCCCCCAACTTCAGTCTATGGCCCGAGGTTTGGGTTTGAAAAGAGACTTCATTAGTAATCTGATAATTCTGTGGGACGCCCCCAGCAGCGGTTCTGCCCCGCGAGGGAGTAATTCTAGGAAGGTAACGTGAGCTGGGGGGAGGCTAGAGAACCAGCTTCACATTTATTTACTCTGACAGCTAAATTGGTGAGCAAGGGGGAAAATCAGATGAAAGCCATTTCAGGGTAAATATTAAATACAAAATTTAAACATTCAGGTTGTGACAAATGGGGAGGAGGCAATGGGAAGAGACACAGGCAGTCCCCCTCCCCCGAGCCCAGGCCTTATCCTCACCTTGTCACCTTCTCGGTATTTCCTGTCTGAGCAGACGAAGAGCACAGAATGGAGTACAAGCTGCATGACCCTAGGCAAGCCAACTGACCTCTCCTGGCCTTAGTGTCCTCATTGGTAAAATGCATGCGTTGTTTGAATCAGATGATCTGGAAAGTGCTGGAGAGAGCACCTTCGAGTCAGATAAGCCTGAAGTCAAATCTCAGCCCAGCCACTTCCTGGCTGAGTGAACCTGGAAAAGTCACCTAACTTCTCTGAGCCTCTGTCCCCTCAACGATAGGGATAATACCAACCTCAGAGGAGTAAATGAGGTCATCAGTGTGACAGGGTTTTTCAGACCTTAAAGTATTTTACAAGTGTGAACAATTACAGTAACCCGAGGATCTCCTTCTGGTTCTGACATCCACCGAGTGAAGTCAGTTCAGCAGACATTTATGCAGCGTTTACTCCACACCAGGCTCCATGTTAAGCACGGGGAACAGAGTCCTGGTTCCTGCCTATGAGGAGCCTACCGTCAACTGGGAGAGAAGGAAGCCAACATTTGCAATGCAGTATGACGGGTGCTACAAAGGGTGCTATAGAAGCAAGGAGGAGGGACACTTAACCTAGTTTATGGGGTGGGTATCAGTCAAGGCTCCCCAGAAGAAGGAATCTTTCAGCAAAATCCCAAAGGATGAATAAGTGTGAGGCAGACAAGGGCTGAAAGGAGTTGGACCAGGATGGAGAGTGCAGTGCTGGCATCTGTGAAGCCTTTAGGGTGCCCAGTCAGTGACGTGCTGGAGCCTCGTGGGAGATGAGCCTGGGGGTCCAGGGAGGAGCCAGATCATGGAGGGCTGAGTCCTGAGTTGAAGAGTTTGGATTCATCTTGAAAGCTTTGGGTCCACAAGCCATCACTTCTACAGGGAGCAATGTCTTGTCTTTGCAGACCTAGCATGGGAAAGTGGTTCAGCATCCCAGTTTTAGAGTCATTTAACCTAAGTTGAGGAGGCCCTGGGTGGTGCAAACGACTAAGTGCTCTACTACTAACCAAAAGTTTGAAAGTTTGATGGTTCAAACCCACTTGGACATGCCTTGGAAGAAAGACCTGGTGATCTGCTTCCAAAAAGGTCACAGCCAAGAAAAACTCTATGGAGTGTAGTTTTATTCTGCAACACATGGGGTTGCCATGAGTCAGAATCGACCCCATGGCAACTGGCTTGGTTTTGGTTTAGCCTGAGTCGATAATCTGACTCTATTACACACTGGTTGTGGAACCTAAGGCAAGGGACGAACTTTATTAGCCTTAGTGTCCTCAACCATAAAATGGGCATTGACAGAGAACCCATTTACAAGTGCTGTGATGATGCCAGGAGGCCAAAATGCATTTTAAGCGTTTGGCATAGGCCTGGCACTCAGTCACCCAGAGACATTGTCATCATTAAGGAGAGGGTGTGATGGGGACACAGGAAGCACTAGCTGAGTGGGGAGAGTCTTCAAGGGCTAAATATCCCCTCGTTAGAGAATTCTTCCCTGACCACACTATTTAAAATAAGTGATCCCTGTTATTCTTTTTCCAGAAAAGGGTAGATAAGGCTGAAAAGTAGCCTAGGCTGTGATAAGCCTTGTGTATCATGCTAAGGAATTTCAACCTCAAACTATAAACTGTAAGGGGCCATCAAAGGCTTTTAAGTGTGAAAAGGACATGGTCAGATTTAGAGTCTGGAAAGATGACTTAAGCAGTTGGCTCATTCACCTGAAGGGAATGAGTCCTTCACTGAAATATTGCAATAATCTAAGGAAGAGGTGATGAGCCACCTGTGGGGACAAGGAGGATGGAAAGAAGGAATAGAATTGAAAGTTAATTATTATATGTGACTTTATGAAGTTATATATAATCATATATTATATACCCTTATAGCTATGTGTGTGATTATATATGACATCATATATAACTTTAATATGTAAAGTTGATTAGGAGACTGGATGTAGGGATTCGGGGAGGGCAAATGTCACAGGTAACTCCTAGGTTTCTGACTTTTTAATTTATTGATTTTTTTTCATTATGTTGTTCCCAATGACATAAAACACCAGAGCAATTGGAGGTGGGGGCAAGGGGAACAATGAACTGTTTGGGTTTGATGTAGCAGGGAAACATTCATGTGGAGGTGCCCAGGAGCGAGCTGGATATATAGGTCTGGAGCTCAGAAGAGAGGCTGGAAGTGGGGAAAGGAATTTCAGAGACATCAGCTTAGGGATGGCATTGAAGCCATGAGAGTTGATAAGATTTTACAACAGCCAGGATTAACCCGACATAAAGACAAGAGAGTTGACTGGTTTGCTTTCCAATTTCAGGGGGGAAAATAACTTGCACCTGAGGCTCACCTTATTTTCAGTGGGAATAATGTTTTAAATAATAAAGCAAATTGTATATAGTGATAAGTGCAAAAACAGAATCAGACATTTAAGAAGTAGAAAAACAATTAACTGCCTTGGGGAAATGAGAATGGATAGGAAGATGACAAATGGTGAGTGGGCAGAAGGGAGTTTCCAGGTAAAGGGAATATCTTGTACAAGGACATGCGAATCTGGGAGATTCCACTGTGTTTGAGATGTACGAGCAATTTAGTCTGGTTGGGGGCTGGGGGCATGGCATATTGGAGGTAGATTGTAGAAGGCCTCCTAAGCCTCGCTTATCCTATGGGTATAGGTACTCAGAAGTGTCTTAGCTCCTCTTATGATTAAATTTCAAGTACTCTCACTTCACAGGGCTTTGGTTTTCTTCTCCAACACTCTTCTCAGACCCTTTTTTCCGTCTGTTTAAGCAGGCTTCAGTGCTCAGCTCAAGTATTGCTTCCTCTGGGAAATCATCTCTACCCCTACCTCTTGTTTCCGGCTTGGTTAGGTGCCCATCCTCTGCCTGCAGCTCCCAAGTCTTACATGATAGTACACAGGGCCCATACCTTATCATCTTTACACCCTCCATGCCTGGTGCATGGCAGATGCTCGGGATGTGTTTGAGAAATGAGTAACTTTCCTTCTGATGAGGTCACCCACCAGAAAGCTTCTCAATTGGGAGGCCTATTTTCAGAAGAAGAAAACTTAATTTCTCTGTTTTATTTTTTAAGGCTAAATTTTTAATTGTTTCTAGCATAAAAAGGTCACAGGGCACATCAAAACTAAAATGCCATTTTGTATAGTCAGTAATCCTAACCGAGTAAGACGGGCTGTGGAAGAAAAAAGATGTAGGCCTGTGTCCTGGGCTGGTTAATGATAAATTCTGACAGATCTGTTTTTCACCTGGGATTCAAGTCTCTCTCTGGAGACCACGAAGGAGAGCTGGCCTGAGAAGGAAACTAACCCAGAGGAAAACACAATCAACAGACCATATCATTTGAACACCTGGACTTTTCAGTTACATAAGCCAATAAACTTTCTACCATAAGGTAGTTGGAACAGAGTTTTTGTCACTTGAAAGTGTCTTGACTAACCTACTCACACAGCTAGGGCTAGAATTCTGACTCAGGCATTCCTGATGCCAAAGCTCTCTAGGCCTTTGTTTCCTCACATGTACAATGAGGTGGATTTAGCCTGCATTTGTATAATTCTGTTCAGTAAAATGATGCTAGTAAGGCTTAGGTTCCCTATCCCCAAAATGTATAAGGAGTCAGAAAAGTGAAGAAGGAACTAACAGTACTCAGTGCAACACCATTCTATCAGCTGTGGCTTTTATTCTCTGCAATAACACCAGAATCTTTAACACCACAAAGATTTACAAAGACATTTCCACAAATGGAATATAGTTTAGACCAGGGGTCAGCAAACTATTTCCATAAAGAGTCATAGTAAATATTTTAGGCTTTTCAGGCCAGATGGTCTTTGTTGCAGCTACTCACCTCTACCATTCTAGCCAGTTGTGTGTGTAGGGTAGCAGCCATTGACTATATGTAAACAAATGGATGTGACTATGTTCCAATAAAATTTTATCTATGGACATTGAAATCTGAATTTCATATAATCTTTATGTGGCATGAAATATTATTTTGAATTTTTTTTCTCCAGCAATTTAAAAATGTAAAAATCATGCTCAGCTTGTGGGCCACATAGAGGTGGCACAGGCTGGTTTGCTGACACATGGTTTACAGTACGCCGGACTAGGAGTTTGCTGTCTGGGTTCTACCTAAAGTTCTCTCATTGTACGATTCTGCTATACAGGATGACCTCTCAAGGCCCTTCAGCTCTCAAATACCATGACTGATTTTTCATTTGACAAATATTGAGCATGTATTACATAGAGCATTGTTTTAAATGTTGTCGATGTAACACTGAATAAAAAATTCTGCTCACATGCATTCTAATGAGGACAGACGATAAATCCATGTATAATGTTGGGTAGTGGTTCTACTTAGAAAATAAAGAAGGGTAAAGGATTGGGGGTGACAGGGCTGCAATTTTAGAAAGGTCAGGGATGGCCCCTTGGTCACTGACATTTGAGCAGAGACATCAATCAAATGAGTCGGTTCTGTGGCTATTTGGGGGAAAGAACACTCCAGATAAAGGGAACAACCAATGCAAAGGTTTTGTGGTAGGAGCTTCCTTGTATTCAAAGAATAGTAAGAGGCCAGCGTGGCTGGAGTACAGTGAGCAAAGAAGAGAACAGTAAGCTACACAGTCATGGTCAGTCAGGGGCCAGGCCATTCAGGGCCTTACAGGTCTTTGGATTTTATTCTAGTTATGATGGAAAGCCACTGAGAAGGGAATGACATGCTCAGATTTTAAAAGGATCACTTTGGTTACTGTGTGGAAAATTGACTATAATAAGGAGGCAATAGAGGGGATAGGGAGGTAATTAGGAGGGCATTGCAACAGTCTGGCAAGAGATGATGGTAACTTGAACAAAATGGTAGTGTTGGAAGTGATGAGAAGCGGTTGGATTCAGGATGTATTTTGAAGGTGGAGTTGAGAGGATTTGTTAAAGAACTGGATAGTAATGGGGGGGGGGGGGGAGAGAAATCAAGGACGAATACAATGGGAACAAATCACATTTTAGGAACATAATGATTATACACAGGACATTTCTAACATTTAACTTGTAAGACAAGAACTAATCCTGCTCTTTTATAGTAGTATAAAAATCACAAATACATTTGCCAATTCAGAAATTAACTGCATATACCTTAGTAACCAAGAGACAGGGCTCTAGAATACTTGGTTTCATAAAACTTTTGCTGCTGATTTTTGACATGTTTTGAAAAAATCTTTCCTTGTGTGATCCTCTTCCCAATACTTCGATGCCAGTTACAAAAATCAACTGGTTAGGGTTACATTTTGCATTTGATAAAACAGGAGCTGAGATTAAGAAGATAGTTCATCCTCTTGCCTGATATTTTCCACCCTTGTACATATCAGAATTCTAAGCGACATAATTTTAGCAAAACAGCAAACCAAAGAATATTTTTACCCAAAGTACAGATAACCTCGTAACAAAGAGTCAACCAACATTTGTATTTTATAAACCTTTCACCAGACTGCTTTCAGCAGTATTTATGACACACACATTTATTCTTTTGAAACTGCTACTTTGAAAAGAGAGAATCAACATGGTATAGTACTTTCAGGGACTTCCATTAACAACTTCTCAAATAGTTACATTTGCAATGAGGAGCTAGTCTCTTCACTTAACAAGAGTAGGCAGGCATAATGGGTAGAGAGAATTAGGATCGTCCCTGAGGCTGACTCTAGCCAAAGAGCTGTGCAGAGTAGCGACTCTAGAAGCAGCACTCTGCCAGGACACACCAGCCCCAGTCCTGAGTGGGGACAAGCCTATCAGAGAGTTGTAGTCTTTATTCCAGTAAACAGATGAGAGAAGACACAACCACACAGACACTGTCTTGCATTTATTCACACAGAGGAATAAGAATTGGTACAAATAATAAACACTGCTTTAAATACAAATAAATAGATCTGGTTTCTAAAGGAAACAACTCTATGTAATTCGAAGTTTTTTTTTAAATTCCTATTAAAAATAGAAGACTATTTTGCATTAAGTAAATCCTACTCCACCATAACCTTTGAGGACTTAAGGATAAAATGGTGAATTCTATACTCCAAGAAGTCACCAGAAAAATGGGAGATAGTACCCCCACCTCCCTGAACTATTCCCCAAATGGAAAGAGAGTTACTTACACTATAGACACAGCTAATAAATGCATAAAGTGGTTGATATTTAAAGATATCTTGGGAAAAGTGAAACGAATTTCTATGAGCCAGTTCTATGAATTCTGAAACTTTGACATGCTGAAGTTTCGGTTCAAGTGTGTCTTAAATTCATTTATGATCATAGGAAGACTTAAGTTCCTATTATGAAAGCTTCCTCTTGCTAGCTAGGAACGACAGTAGTCAACAGTCTGTAATCACCAGAATGGCAGCAGGAGTAACAGCGATTTACCTGATAAAGGACACTAGTGTGGCCCAATGAAACAGTCTGTCAAACCTGGCACCAAAATGACCAAAATGGTGCTGGCTGAAGAACATCTCAAAATCTGCTGATAAGTTTCTCTTTATATATTGTCAGAATGTTCCAAGTGGCAAAAAATATCTAGGAAGAAGTATGTTCTACAAATGAACAATCATTTTAAAGTCATGCAATCTTTAAAGGCTGTTGAAAGACATAAATCATGAGTTCATTACAATCTTTGTGCCTGAGTAGTGCCTGCTCCATTGACTCTCCGTGCCCACTACATGTGCCCCAACATCCACCACTCCCAAAACAGTACAACAACTTCAGACCCCTCTACATCTATTAGGAAATAATAGGTTTGAGAGCTATCAATATAGCAACTTTTATGTTTTCAAAGAAATCTTGCTTTTCTATTTAGAGTGACCATGATACAATTCCAAATAGAACACTCTCATGCTATAAAAACAATCTCATGCAATAAGTGCAATTTTAAAAGTCCCACATTAATAATAACATTTGGTATTACAGAAGGTAGGATTATTTAGATTAAAAAAAAAAAAAGATCACTATAGAGTAAAAGTTGGATTTCCAAATGGAACTTCTGTTGTGGTATAAAATGCTAAGTTTGATTTTACAGTTTTGTCGATGCAACAATTTCAAGACATACACCATATTTTCCTAATTGGGATTCTGAAACGATAAGCATGATTCTTAAAACAGATTACCACATTTGCTCAAAGAACCAGCTCCCTTTTGCCAAGAACTTTCTCTTTTTTGGAGGGATTTCCATCATAAATTCTGGAACAACAGTTCACAACATGATTTAAAAACTGTCTCTCACTTCCCTCCCTGTCTCTTTTCCTTTATGTTCTAAAGACACTAGAGCCCAGGAAAATGACCTATTTTTCTTTTTTTAAGAAAGACATCAGTAAATTTAGTTTCCTGATTTAAATAACATTTTCTATGTTTTCTTTTCTCTCTGGCACACTTTATAACATTTCTGAAGTTACAAAGCCAAACAAACCAGCCAACTAGAGCATCCCAGTGTTTAAATCACAATTTTGGATACAATCCTATTTATTCTGGATGATGCTCAATTCCACACATACTTCAAGGAAGAAATATCCATAAGAAAATCCAAAAACGTTATGTTACCAAACTCTAACATGTGATTGTGCTTTGTTGGATACATCATTCACATCTACAAAGTACAAAGGCAGAGGAGTTCAGGTGTGGAGAACAATTTGCTTTTGCTGCTACAATAATTCACAACCATCATCTTCGAGATTTCCAAGCTGTTCTAGAATAAGGGGCAGTCCTTTTTTTATCTGATGGCTTAAAGTAGGAATAAACAGGTGCTGCTGGATATTCTGCATCAGGATTTTCTGCCATCATTTTCAGCTTTGCTTCAATGGCTTTTATCTTTGCAGTGACGCTGGAAAACGGATAGCAGAGGATCAGAGTGGGCCTGGGTACATTTAGAAAATGCTTGCATATTTCATCTTCCTTGTGTCTCTTACGCAATATCAGAGAAGCAACAAGATACTCAAACATGAACGTTCAAACATTTTAAATAAAAGACAGAAAAAGATAACTAATGCTCTCATTTTACAAAAGAGATCAAGTCTGAACCATCTATTAAGTTTTAAAAGCTCAGACACTGTTATGAGTACTTCACATATTGTTACATTTAATCCTCAGACACAAAAACTGTTTAGCACCTTAGTGCTTGTTGGGTAGTAGGCACTCAAAAATAATTCCTGTAGGACTGAAAACAACATTGTAAAGGAGGTTATTTTCCTTATTTTGCAATTGAAGAAACTGAGGCACAGAAAGGTTAAACTGCGCAATGTTACATAGCTAGTAAGTGGTAAAGCTGAGATTTGAATACAGCCTGACTCCAGAGTCTACGCTATTATCCATTACACTGCACTACCTTTTCAATCACTGAATAATAATGGCAAAAAAAAAAAAAAAATTCTGGAAATTCTATAAAATCTTTTTTTACTGACAAATGTGTTAATAAAGGCTATCATTTACGGAATATGTATAATGAGCCAGGCACTATGCCCAGCATTTTACTTATATTGTTTGTAATCCTTGTAATAACCGTACGAGATAGAGGTTCTTATCCGTATTTTATAAAGGAACAAATGCAGAGAGCTACTGATTTACCCAAGGTTCACAGACCTAACAAGTTGCAGAGCCAGGATTCAGTCTGTTCATCAGCGCTTGCTTTTCCCTCTCCATCAGGCTGGGAGCTGAGCAGCCCTTTGTTAGAGAGAAAGCATGAGGAGACACTGCAGAAGCTGTGAGGAATTCCCTTCTGATTGGGCTCATTGCTATCCCTGGGCCAGAATCCAAAGCAGTCAGGCAGTGGGTCTTTTTTGGCCCCCTCCCCTTCTCCCTTTATTTTCCATTCTTGATGGTTGTCAATGGTCTATAGTCAGGGAGAGAATGTATACACGGAAGGGAGTGTACACACGTCCTTTCCAAGATTCTCGAAAGGGATATATCTGCTGTAAATGTCCATAATTTTATATGGGCAAGAAATTAGAAAAGCAATTTATAATAAAAGGAACACTGAGGTATTACTGAGATGCATTCCAGCACCTCTTCCATTAATGGGACAGCCATTCATTCTGTACAAGTCACTAATAAGGCATAGATGTTAATAGAAAGATGTAAACTGAGGCTCTCCGGATTAAAAAATAAATGGAAAACACTAGCCTACTACCTGGTAAACAAGTGGAAAACACTGATAATAAGAAACTAAAGACATGTTAATTGTATCATAAAGACCAACAAACGTAAGTGCAGTCATCCCTTTCCAACAGTTATTATATTTATGGAAACCTCACGAGCCTACTATGATCAAGAAAGTTCAAATTTTATCAGGAAAAAAGAACAGTCGATATAAGTTCCCAGTGAATTTATCAAAGTCATTATAATTTTTCTTGTTTTTTTATTTATAGGAGCATAAAACAATAAACCAAAAACCAAACCTGTAGCCATCGAGCTGACTCCGACTCATAGCGACCCTGTGGGGCAGAATAGAACTGTCCTATAGGGTTTCCAAGGAGTGGCTGGTAGATTCAAACTGCAGACCTTTTGGTTAGCAGCTGAGCTCTTAACCACTGTGCCACCAGGGCTCCAAAATATAGAGGCAGCACAAAATTAAGAAAAATCAATGGCATTTAACTTAACTTAGTAACTATAAAATTAATTTCAATTTACCAGTTTTATCATTCCTAACTCACCTGAAAACATTTTGGGACCACAATCTCCCTGAAGTTTGAATTAATAAATAAAGACAGAAAACCAAACCCTTTACTGTAGTGAATTCTGACTCATGGCGACCCCATGTGGTATAGAGTAGAACTGTTCCATAGGGTTTCTTGGCTGTAATTCTTATGGAAGCAGATCGCCAGGCCTTTCTCCCATGGCATGACTGGGTAGGTTCAAACTGCCAAATTTTAGGTTGGTAGTTGAGCGCAAACTGTTTGCGCCACCTAGGGACTTCCCTGCAGTTTAATGAGATGTTTATAAATCTGTTTTGCTATGGTGCAGATAACATACAAGAAAGGCACTTTTCTTGTCTTTTTGGTCTTCCATCCTAACAGGCATCGCTTTCCTGACTTTATTACTGAGTGCTGGTCTCTGATCCTTGTGTGTCATTAACGTTCCTTCACCTCCCTAGAACAGCCTGGAGTTTCTTTAAAATGAGTGTAATAATGCTTTCACTGGAATTTTTATGAGAACTAAATGACATAATGTATATAAAGTATTTAGCACAGTGCTGTTTCAGTCAGTTCAATAAATTCTAGCTATTGTTACTTACAGTGTTAAAATTTCTCCACAGGCTACAATGAGAAAAACCTCTACTGCTGCCCAACCATCTACTTAACCTCTCCTTTCTCGACCATATCCTTAGTTCCTTCTGTTTGGAATTAACTCCAAAGAAGTGACTGACAATTTGTCCACACAGGAATCAAAATGCTATAGTTGCTGAAATGGTACATGGAATTAAACTTCTGCAAACTAAAGTTTTGTATAAGGGTAACTCACAGATGGGGAAGAATGAGTGTACAAAGACAAACACCAAAGAGATCCAAGACCTTATCAAAATGCTTGATAAAGACTGCATATTATCTTTGTATTCCTAGTGCCAAGTATAATGCCTGGCACATGGTAGGTGCAACCAACATGTTTTGAGTGAATGAATTCTATAAAAGAAGAGTACACCATCTTGTGGGAGGAGCTGCTGGGGGAAGAAATGTATATATTCTGGAGATTAACTGAACATTCTCTCAACATGTCGTAAGTTAGGAGATTCTATTCTAAATTAAGAGTCTGAAAATTTACTAGGATGTGAATGAAGGAATGATTCAAGCTGTAGAATAACTGTTCGTGTCTGTCTATAGTACACCATCTTACCTGAGGTTAGACTGAGTGGGCTCGGTGCTTGAGGATGGCTCAAGGCTGATTGGAAGGATCTTATCGTTTTTGTTATGATCGTATCTCTGAAAGTAAGAAAAAGGGAAATGATGTCACCTGGGCAGAAACAAGCCCTCTACTGCCACACACAGGTTCAGAAGCACCAACCAACCCCACCAGTGCTGTTACCCATTGCCGTCAAGTCAATTCCAACTCATAGGGACCCTACAGGACAGAGGAGAACTGCCCATGTCGTTTCCAAGGAGTGCCTGGTGGATTCGAACTCCAACCTTTTGGTTAGCAGCCGTAGCTCTTAACCACTGCGCCACCAGGGTTTCCCCCACCCGTGTTCTGTCAGCATGTTTCTAGACAATTTTAGGACTGTTTCACATTTTGAATTAATGTAAAACTCCACAGAGCTTTGGCATAAATGCTACTTAAGTTTAGGAAAAAAGTTGAGAAGAAGCTTCTAATCTAGCCGTTAGTCTTCCTTATTTGGTAGGGAAAGAATTTCATTTTTCGAATTTACCAACGGTGCAAATTATAGCAGGTTTGCCCTCTTACAATCTTATTTTAATTGTCACATACCAATTCTTACAATATTTGTTTTATTTTATTCAAAACACTTTAAAATTCTGCTAGATTTTACAAAGCACCGACCATAATATTCAACTCTTAACATGCATGAATGGAAAAATAATAGCTTCTAGCCACTGATCTAGAAAACATTCTATAGTAAAAGAGTAATTTAATTTGATGTCAGATAATTATGTATCTTTTGTAAAAAGTAAACCTAAAAGAGCAATCAGGGGCTTCTGGTCAAAAAGAGACTTGTAGAAGAAGAGAACTGAGCAGCCCAGAGATTCTCAAATGAAAAACAGGAATGAAGGATGATTTCCCCTGCGTGCCTTTTCAGTAAGATGCAGAACGAGAAAATGACAGCCAGTTTGGCAAATAAGACTTGATTTTCTTTTGAGTAAAAAAGTATCTGGAAATTCTCCTTGTTGTTTCTATTTTTAAGGTAATGTGTCCTAGAAATCGAGAAGGCTCTGTGATTACCTGAAATACTCACAAGGATCCAAAGTGTCTAAGCTTTGTTCTTCAGGTTGGACACTAAGCTTAAATGTCTGATTAATTTCTGTGACTCTTTAATGGGAAGTTTGTTGGGTAGGGAGTAGCGAATCTCTGACCAAAAATCATGCTCAAATAGCTAAAGCTTTTAACTGTCACAAATCTTTTCACAGGCAGGTTTGTCAAGACCCCTCTGCAGAGAGAAGAGAATCAACTCTTGGCATTCCTCTGCTCCATACGTTTCACCACCTCCGTGCCAGCTGTAACAGAATGAAATTCCTTTTTTTTTTTTTAAGTTTCTCAGCTTTTCTAGTGCATTGTCCCCAGGGACTAACTACAGGATGAGCAAGAGTGTTCACTACTTCTCAAGGCGTGGACACAATAAGGCACTGCAAAGTACAACAAACCCACATCCTAATAACTCTCGAAATATCTAGAGTAAGGAGATGCCAGTGCTTTAAACACTCATACAAACTACCCATTTCTCAAGTATTTAGAATAAACATATTCAAATTCTCCACAGAGTTAAGAGGCTGGGAAGAGTCTAATAATGCCTAAAGCAACCAATTTTAAAAATAAATACATTTTTTCCTACAAAGAAAATCTCCCACTTAAAAAAATGATAGAGGTCTGAGTATACACATTAGCCACATGGAAAAATCAATCAAAAGCAGGATCTGTGGGCATGTGGAAAGAAACAACAAAGGAACTTAATCCCTCCTGAGATATTTCTCAAAAGAAAAATCTGGCAACACGCATGGTAAATACAAGTAGGAGACCAAAGTATGACTGTTCCAGATGTGAAGAGGCTTGGATGCAAATGGTTAAGTGGACAATTGTCTTTTAGAAAACTCATTTAGGATGAGACTTCATGTTGTCTTTCTAGCCTCTTGAACGTACCTTTACTTGAGCATGAGCCCATCGCACCACCAGCTTCTTTGATAGAGCCAGCTTGCCATTGAGACACTGGATGGCTTGTTCTGCTTCCTGTCCAGGAAAGGGACTAATGTTAGTCAAATATTCAAATGCCTAACTAGCTGCAGTTATTCTCACAGGGCTTCACTACCTTGGACGGTTAAGTTTCTAACCAAGCTGCTTTTGGAAAGTAACTGGCAAAGGGTTTACAATTAAAAAAAAACAGAATAACAAAAAGGGTATGAGCTTTTTGAAGTCAGTCAGGCAAGAATTCAAATCCTGGCTCTGTCCCTTGCTGGCAGTGTGATGTTTGGCAGATCACTTAATCTCTCTGAATATTAGAGATTTTTCACCTGTAAAATATGAATCATACCACTTGTTGGCTGTTGTGAAGATTTAAAGAGTACATATAAAGAGCATATGGTAAGGACTCGACAAATGTTAGCTAATATTATTGTCCTAATTAGGTGATAGCTTTCTACACGTTTCTGTTAGTTAGGATAGCACTTACTATGTCAAGAAACTGTACTCTCCCCAGGGGCCCTGGAACTATATCCTAGACTAGGGCTTACTCCTTGGGTCCAAAGTGAGAAACAGTAATGGCTTAAAAGGATATCAGAGTGAGGAAAACTAAGCAGGAAAAAGGAGTGAGTCAAAGAGACTATGAACAAGGTATTTGTGTCAGTCAATCTAGCAGCTGGTTTTTAGAACCAAAAGTTCTCTGACCCTTTCCCCATCAGATGTAGGAGCAACAAGGTTGAAAGGAATTCCTGAAGCTTGATAACAGTCACTCTAAGTCACTCCCGGGAAACCTGGCTGTACTTTCCTATCCTGTCAAATCTTCTATGACCCATTTGTGTCCACAAGGCATTAAGCCAAGTGTAACCCATGTTTACTGGGGTGAAGAAGTCCTTAAGGGACAGAAAAGGAAAGAAGTCCTAGAGGGCAGGGACAGTCTATGTGAGGCTGGAGTGTAATACCAGCAGGCATTCCTATCTGGGTCTGCTGGTGAGTCTCTTGCTCCTTCAGAGCTTGCCAGCATGATATCTGACAAATATTTATTGAGTACTCATTATGGGTCAGGCACTGGATAGTCACTGGCATACTCGCCTCACAATAACATACAAAGTTAGAGGGATATATAAGAGACATTTTATTCTTTCAAGTTTCATTTGGTGAATCAGAACTTCCATGGCACTCTCTATTAATTCTGTAGCATTGGCAGTAATCAGATGCCAGCAGGGGATAAATGTTGTTTCAAAGTTCATTTTCAAATGACAACTGAGGCCAAAAGAAGCTAAGAGACTTGCTCAATTTTAATAAATGAAAAAGCCAGAAATAGAAGCTAGGCTTTGTGACTTATAGTCCAGTGTTTTTAAGCTGACATCTACCCTCGACATGACCACTGATTTTAGTTGTCCTCAAGAATCCTCAGCACACTCTATCATTAGGGAGGAATAAAGTATTTTAAAATGCTAATCATATAACGCATTCTTTCAGTTTCCTTAAAAAACCTTGGACAACTAGAATAATAACGTATCACTGCCTATAACCGTGGCAAAAATTAGGAATAAAAAATACCCAGCATTGGTAAGGAGAAATGATATACTCAAATAGGCTCAGAATATGTATCATTTCTGGAAGGCAACTGGTAATTGTGTTAACAAAAAATATGCATGGCCTTTAACCACACCATTCCATCGCCAAAAATGTAGTAAATATGCACACAGTTACAGATACAGAGATATTCACTACTGTGCTGTTTACACTAGTGAATCATTGGATACAACCTAAATAGCTAACAACTGGGGATTAGTCAAATAACTTATATACTCATATGTACAATGAAATACTATACGGTGATGTTGACTTTAGTTTTTTTAACTGAGGTCTAAAATATGTACAATAAAACGCACCAATAATAAGGATACAGAAAAATGAATTTTTATATATGTATATACCAGTGAAACCAGAATATCATGATACAGAATGTTATCTTGATGTGTACAAGATGGAAAAAATTTAACATATGTTGAGTGATAAAACGTGTTACCCTTTGCTGTTGAGTTGATTCCAACTTACAGCGACCCTACAGGACAGAGTACAACTGTCACATAGGATTTCCAAGGCTGTAATCTTTGTAAGCAGACTGCCACATCTTTCTCCCGTGGACTGGCTGGTGGGCTCAAACCGCCAACAAGCAGTCAAGCACTTAACCACTGTGCCACCAGGGCTCCTTGATAAAACATAATTGTGTGATCTTATTTATGTTATAAACTCCATGTGTTTTTATGTGTGGAGTGTGTATACGAATATGAAGAAAGAGAGACTGGAAAGACATACAACTAAATATTAACAGCAATTACTTCTGGGTATTGGGCTGATAAAGTGACTTAAATTTTCTTCTTTTTTGGTATTTATATTTTCATCTATAACAAACATGTATTACTTTTATAATAAGAAAAACATTCAAATACAAATTAATAATAATGAAAACAATAAAAATAATAAAAAGAAACAATAACTAGGCAATGTTCTTACAAACGACTAATAAAGTTATAGAGTACTAGGCAGTATCTGTATATTATATTCAAATTCAATTTCTTCATCAATGCACGTCCACATCCAGGGCTAAAACTTTAATACAAGAAGATACATGTAGATCGAAACTCTTATGCACTGCTGGTGGGAATGCAAAATGATACAACCATTTTGGAAAATGATATGGCGCTTCCTCAGAAAGCTAGAAATACACATACCATTCGATCCAGCAATCCCACTCCTAGGAATATATCCGAGAGAAATAAGAGTTGTCACTCGAA